ACTGTTCTAAAAGACCCTCGTCGGGGGAATATCAATCGAGGGGCTTTGAAAATGCAATTAAATATTTATGGGTTAAAGCTACGCGTTGTTGGCCGGCGGAATTTCAGCTTATAACAAATTAATTAAGTCGCACGCAAGGTATTTTACAAATCATACTTAATAAGGTCAAATTGGCAATTTAACAGCAACAAAAACAGCGAGAAGAAACCGAAAAAAAAACAAACATACAAAATAAATACGTGGAAAAAACAAAAACCAGCACTTCCAAACGAGTTGAGTTATAAAAAACGTATTTTGTTGTTAATCTTTTATCGGGCTTTATGCAAATCGAGAGCTAAAAAGTTGCCTCAGCCGGACAAAGAGATCGAAGCCGCTTAAATAACAAATTGATAAATATTAATAAGGCCACAGGGTCTGAGACGGTGTGTGTGTGTGCGTGCAATGCATTTACGCTCCGCTGTCTATCTGCGTATCTAGCAGATACAAAATGTCATCGCTGCCAGTTACAGTTAGCCAGGCAGCCAGCGAGCTCTGCTACTTGGCCAATTGAGCGGTCTTTTGAATGCGCGGCACAGCGCATAGCGGAATGTATCTTCCAGATGCAAATTGCAATCGAGTGTAAACAAAACAAAGGCGCAAGAAACACGCGTGCGCTCGTAACTCGAGATACAATCGCCGTCGCAGCTTTTTTGTTTGTTTTTTTGCAGAGTCAGATCCAGATACATGTGTATCTGCGAGATTGCGGCAATCTAATATTTATTAAGACGGCGTGTGACTTATGTGCGATGCCTTGACATTACCCGCTGGCTGCAGTCGTCTTCCCTATCTGATGACTCAAATTGGGTCACCAGATAGTACTCAGACATTTCTGTATTTCCTTACTGCACGGCACCTTGTAAACATGTAGATAAGCAGGAAAGGTATTAACATGACATTATTACAATGTTTTGCTTATGATTCACCCGGCTACTTGAATCAATTTTACAATTAAATGCCTCTGGTACTTGGTCGAAAACGATGAGTAACCCAAAGGCCTTTCTGATAAAAGAGCTCCTCTACTTGCGTCAAAATTCTAGGCCCACTTTGAAGAAACCCGAAAGTTATCAGCATATAAGGGTAATGATTCCAGGGTAATCATTAAAAGACATCCGAGAAATAGAATTCGTCACAAGCCTCAAAGTAAGCACAACCTATCAGCAGAAAAATAAAAATTTCAAAGGAAAATAACCTTTTAGGTGAATATTTATCCTGTTTTACAATTGATAACAAAATCAGGTCAGCAAATTATTTTTCGGTCTTCGGCTTCGGGTTCTTAAATGAAAAGCCTTAAGCAGATAAAGGTATATTCAAAGACCTCGAAACCATTCAAAAACTTCTAATTAGATAAGAAAAATACCTTTCCTTGAAATAAAATTCCTCAACAACTACACTCACTATTTTCAAAAATTTAGCTACTTGGGCAGGAATTTCTAGCCCGATTTTAGTTATGGGGGAAAGCCAAAGACTTTACCTTCGCATCGGGGCTTTCCACTCCAATAACTTTGGCCAATGGCTTATGCTCGGAGCCAATTTCAATTCCATTGCGATCCGCCCAGAAGGCAATTCACAATTAGCAGTAACCCCAATGCCTCGACATGTCTCCTCCACTCGTGTCACTACTCCGCCAGCGGACTCACGGGCAACCTTGGGCCGCTTCAAGTCCAAATGGGCATGCGGCATGTGCATATATACCGCTTACTGGCCTGCTGGATAAGTGTATGCCGATCAACGATCGCCGATCGACGGTTTAGCTTTTTGTAAGCGACACATAAACCATAATTAAAAGCGAAAAACTGTTGCCCCCAAATCGAAGCGGCCGAAAAAATAAAAACAAAAAACCAGTAAACAAAACCAAAAATGCGCGCGCGTTTGCGCACAGCGCACCTGTTTTTTTTCTACCCCCTTGGAGCCACCGCCACCCTCACCTGGAGTTGGTGGCCAGTTTCATGAAACAATTACGAATGCGAGTGCAAAACAAAAAAAGCAAACGAAAAGCTGGCTGAGGCTGAGACTGAGCCAGAGCCGAGCGCCAAGTTGGTCGAAGTTGTTGGCCAAGTTAAGGCGATTGGGCGACTACTCGAGGGGTCCAAGCGTCCGCTCAACTTATTGCAACGTTCGGCGCTCTTGTTGCTGTTGTTTTTATTGGGGCATAAACACGGCATAGCCGCTGCACAGTGGAAAAAGTAGGAAAGACAAATATTTTATATTAAATTTAAACAAATGTCATAGAAATTGTATCAAAATTATTTAAGCAGTCTTAATTTAAGACAGAAACAAGTATGTTACATTATTAGAACAACAAGTTTTCCTTTGCTTTATAGCTGTGGCTTACAACAAATCTATTATCTTTCAAGGTAAACATGTGTGTTTTTCCTTAGCCATTTGCATGGCTTTTTCTTGGAGGTAGAATAATGGGTATTGTTGGGACTTTTTCGGCCCACAGTGCTCGACAACTGGCCCGGTTTGCCTACGAATGGTGTAGCCTCTCCTTGTCACCCCACCCGGTTGGTCGGCCATACAAACCATCCCACCATCACAATTCCGATCACCTCCCATTTTCATCCTTTTCCTTCACTTCTGTTGATCGCTTCGATTGCTGCTCGATCGCTCGCCTTTTTAGCTTTGGCGTAAAATTGCAGAGCGATCGGCGGCTATGTTGTTTTTGTTTTTGTTTGTGCCATTAAGGCAACAACAGCTATGACTACGGCTACACACATACAGGCGAGCGTCCACTGAGAAACCTGTAGAATTTACAATTACAACAAAATGGCAATAACAACAACAACAACAGCAATGGAGCGTCAACAATCTGCGTCAATGCTTTTTCAACGTTTTTTCTACACCCTTTCAAGGGGTATATTTTAATGAGGGAATCTTAGAAGTTAATAAATTCAAGAGTAGATAATCTAGAAGTTTAGTATTTATCTTTTTAAGAGCAGTTATTATTTTGAGGATAAAGGATATCGATATATATGATTTAATTGTATTTATGTACAAATATCTTGTAATTCCTGAAATAATAAGGATATCCCAGACTTCAAAAGCCAAAATCACTGTTTTCATTGTGCTTGGTTTGTAATTTTATACCAGAAATGGAATTTCTATAGTATTTATAAATACATTTTTCAACAATATTTCGAGAATATTTCACCATCTTCGGGCTTTAATTTAAAAAATTTAATCAATATTGTTAGATAATCGTTATAAACAAAAATCGATGTAAATATATAAATATATCTTTCAATTCCTATTGTTTTAAGAGTATTCAGAGAATCTGTTTCTTCGGCAACTATTTTTTTCTTGTTGTTTTTTTTTTACTTTGTTGTTTTACTGGGCGCATTTGCAATTGAAGCGTGGCTCACACAGATACACTCACACACTCACTGGCAAAGTTAACCCACTTGATACTGCCATCCCGCTCCCACCTGTACCCGTTGCCTGAACGTGTTTTTTATATAACTTTTTTATGCGCATAGTTTTGTTTTGTTGCTGCTATTTTTTGGCCGTTCATAAAACTTGTTGTTGTTTGTCGATTTCTGCATATTTTGTCGGTGGGAATATTTGGCATTTTGTTTTCTTCATGTTTCGGAATTTTGTCTATAGCGATAACTAGATGCAAGATTGGAGTGAATAAATGCAGTTGGCTCTGAGTCATAGCCTTTATTTGGGATTGGTATTGGCCAATACTAAGAGGGGGAGCATTGGATTTTCCGGGAAACTGCACACAAAAGTGGGGAAACAAATTTTTGCCATGCCATTTCATTTAATAGATATAAATCATTTTCGAATCTGGTATCTCATTCAATTTGGAGCCGAACTGGAGCCACGCTGGACGCGCGATCCACTCCAACCCAATACCCAATCCCACTCAACAACTGCGATCACCACTCAACTCTCATGACTTCATTTGGTCTTGTGCAATTTACTGATTATCTCATAATCATCTTCTCGTGTGCTTCAATTTGTCTTCGAGAGACTTTTCCTCGGCGGGCTTAATGATGCCTGGAAATTAACCATGGGGATTACATAAAACATAAAACAAGGGGAGATAAAACAAAAGCCAAAGCAGGCAACAAATTTGATTTTATTAAGTTGCGCTTGCATTTCAATTTTGGCATTTACAACATTTTTTTCTGTCGTATGTGTGTGTGCTGTTTTCGTGTTGATTTATGCCGATTTTGGCGAGCCGCGTTTCAGGGAAACAGTGAAAGTTGAGCAAGTTCAAAATAACAGCCAAAAGGTTGTGTCAATGAACTGGACTCGGTCCGGTGGTGGTACGAATTCCCAAATTTGGCTAAGGTATATTTGCCTAATCTCTTCACAACAATCAATAGGCTGGGTTATCGATACGGCCCTCACGTGCCTCTGTATCAAGATGTTCCAAATATGGGCAATGACAAAATCTTCAAAATACTGTTGATATTTGGTAGGAAACATTTGGATTTTGGGTTGCCCAATACGTATTAGCTCTATTTATATTCATTTTAAACGCTTTGTTGAGTAATTCGGGAAATATTTTTAATGTTTACTATGCTTGACTAAGCCTCAAGTCAATTATAATTCAAACATAGAAATTGGAATCGCTAAAACTTAATTTTCAGTTGATTAATGACTACAAGAATACGATGACTGCACAGCACATTAATTGTACTTTTTTTTAAATTGTTAAAATTTTTGTTTTGAACAATTTGAATGAAGGGTTTAAATTATGTTCTATCTGTAAAATGAAAAATGTACTTTTTTGTAGATTGTATATAATAGTTTAATTAATCGATAAGTTTCTTTAAGGAAGATTAAAGCTTCTGCAAGTAAAGCTCTTTGCTGCAATCAGGAAATTTCTAAACCTGGCTTCCGTTCTGTTTTTGTTTTTCTTTTCATTGAAGTTACAGATACAGATTCGATTTGTTTGGATAGCAGTCTGAGTTGTAAAATAAAGAGCCCCGCAGGCCAGAATTACTCACCTTTCGAGGATTGTGAAGGCAACAACAGGTATTTGAAGTGGACGGTGGTGACGATAAGAAAGAGGCCACGCGAAGTGCTCCGGCAATTGCAGGGTGATACCGATTACTTGTTCACTTTCGATTTGATCGGCCGATAAGACAGCAACATTAACGGGGGGAAAACGCGGTGTTAGCAAGGGTAAACAAAGAACAAACACACTTCTTGGGCAAACAAAACCAAAATCCGTGGATATTTTATTTTATTTCGTTTTGTTTTTTCGTATTTTTCGTTGTTGTACTTTTCACGCTGTATGTGTGTCTCGCTTGCTCTTTTGGGGGCGCCCCTTTTCGGACTCACTCTGTCCGCTTTAACCGGTTTCTTGGTTTCTTGGCTTATGTTTATGCTGCTGCTTATCTTGTTGTTTCTTTTACTCTTTTGCTGGCGACTGCGTGGAAAATATGCTGCAATTGCAGCCAGCAATTTGATTAATATTGTTTTTAAGTTGAAACTGCGGCGCAGGGTAAGCCGAACACCGATAAAAACAACACACACACGCAAGCGCAGAGGCTGGACAAATGCTGGGAGAACAGGTGCTAACGATTCTAGCGTTTCCGCGCTGTGACTTGTTTAGTTTCTTTGGCTTGGCGAGCAGCTCTTTTTCCGCACGGCGACCCGCTTAACTCGAATTTTTGTTTGCGTTTGAGCACCTGTTGCTTGTGGTGTGACCAGGCAGGTAAAACACGAGGATGTTTATATACCGAAAATACCAAATTAAATCAGTGTGACCAAAAGTACTACAAATAGCGATAACGATTATTGAACCCGCTTTCGGATCATTTTTAAATTAAAGTTGAAAGTAGTAACTAATAACATTTGATTATAAAATGTGTTTTTAATTTCATATAATACCTTTAATGAACAATATGAATCAATAGTCTTTCTGACTAAAAAAAAGTAACCACTTCGATAAATGACAGTTATCGCCGTGATGCCATCTCTACGCTCGACAACAACAAATTGTGACGACATTGCTATTTTTGTTTTGCGTTTCACCAGAACTGGAAACAATGTCGGCCGAGCTCGCTCATCTGGACAATTTGTCCAACAAGGACCTCCTAAAAAAGTGCAAGGAGCTGGGATTGCCCGAAGTCCCGGTGACGGACAGCACCCGCAACGTAATAATTCGCCGGCTGCGAAGTGCGATCTCGGGAATTCCCTTGAACAAAAGCAAGTCTGCTGGTAAGAAGACAGCCCCCAGACGTGAAACCGTACACGGCAGCCAGGTTAGCACACCGACTGCAGAGCCAGTACGTCGCGCTGCGGGCAGAAGCAACACCACCAAGATAAGCGAGACAAGTCGCCGCACCATCGCCTATGGACTGGACAACACATCGCTTTCTGGCAGATCTGTGCAGACAACCACCACGGTTTCTGATGTGGGCTCCCAGTCGGAGGACGACGACTATTTCATGGTGGATTCCCCGAGAGTGGGATACTCTCATGCTACTCAAACGCCACCCAAGGACGACAGGTCGCTAAAACGCTCCGTTTCGCTGACCAAATCCGGAGTGCTGACCACATCGTACACCCGTGAGGTGGACCAGCCGCATTACGAACAGGATCATCAGGAGAATGACATTCCCAACAGCTACACCTACGAGAGGCCACATGTGCCAGCCGCTCCTCGTCATACGCTGCCAACCTATGAACCTCGCATCGAACCTTCTAGCTACAAACGCTCGGAGTTGGGTTTCTCGCGTCCGCTGCTGACGCAAACGCAGTTGAACTCGACAAGCTACCAGGAATCGGAACACAATCCATCGCGCTCACCAATTCTGCCGCGAAACACGTTCAGCGGCTCAGCCGGGCCCTTTGGACACACGGCACCAGCTCCAGCACTTCCTCGCCAGCGCCAAACTGCTGGCTTTGTCAGGGGTTCTCTGATCCAGCCCAAAACCACTCTGAATACCCTGTATCCGCAACTGAATCAGTTCTACGACCAGCCGGACAACGCCGAGCAGCCCATGGAAATCGATAGCGAAAGCGAGGAAGAGGAGGAAGTGAGTCCCATCAAAAGCAGCCAGGTGTCACGCCCTCGCTTCTCGCCAACGGCCAGGCCGCAGGTAAGGCGGCCTCTAGTGCGGGCTCAGGACCAAGTGTCTCCGATGGCACAGTTTCGTCAGCTCTTGGTATCCCTGGATCAGAGATATCACATCAAACTCTACTTCTACGTGATCCTGGTGGCAATGCTGGCATCTTTAATCTATGTTATCGTAACCCCGAACGCCTGATACTCCAATAACCATTTTCCGGGAATTTGGGAGCAACATAGTTAGGTTTTTCGAATAACTTACGATTCAGTTCACTTTTCCAAGTCTTTAATTGCTTGTTTCTCATATTTCGTTTTATACATAATTAGAAAAATGTACTACATTATAATTATGGTATTAAATAAACTAATTAAATGTAAGGGCTCAGTGTGTTGTTGCGATTTGTGTTTGTATGTGCCGCTCTGTGACAGCGGACCAGAGGCTAGTGGGTTTGTACGCTCTATGCTACTATTTACACGCCATTCAAATGAACGAAACAAAAACGGTGTAAAATCGCTGAGGATATCGTGACGGTACACAAAGCAAATGGCTGCTGGGGATGCGCGCTGGCTGACTAATTGAAGTGGAACTTGAACTGGAAGGGCGAGCCGTGCTGGAAGTGGGCGAAGGGATGCTCGCCGTGGAAGCCGCCCCGGTTGCCCTCGGGATCCAACGGATCCTCGCCGTTGTCAAATTGACGTCGCTTCTCCGGATCGGTCAACACCTCCTTGGCGGCGGCAATGTCGATGAACTTCTTCTCGGCCACCTTCTTCTCCTCGTCCCGGAAGTTGTCAGGATGCCACTTTTGCGCCGCCTTCCTGTACGCCTTCACGATCTCCTGCTTGCTTGCACTGCGTTTCACCCCCAGTATCTTATAGTAATCCCTGCGCTCCGACTGTTTCTGCAGCTTCTTGGCCCGCTGGATGCCCTCCTTTGCGCGGCTGTTACTCTCTTCCAGGTCGAGAGCCGCCTGGTAGGAGTGTATGGCGTCGTCATACATCTCAGTGCCCAGCAGTGCCTCTGCCCGATCGCAGTAGACCTGGGCATCCTTCATGATATCCAACGCCTCCTTGCACTGCTGCAGGGCCTTACCGAACTGCTCATCACCGGTGTAGCAAGTGCAGAGAGCCTTATGGGCCTCGTAGCGAATCATCTGCTCCTCCGGTTCGTGCCGAAGAACCGCCTCTCCGGCAGCTATACAATCGGCAAACTGTTTCTCCTCGCGCGCCTGCTCGGCATTCACCAGCTGCTTCTCCACCTTGCGGAGCTTCTTGTAGAAGGGGAAGCAGAGCTTATGTTCGGGATCGAACTTCAGGCACTCGCGGATTTCCTTTAAGGCATTTGAGGCATGGCCAATGGTGTACAGCAGCTGGGCGATGTTGTAGTGACCCTCTGTGCTGTCCTGTGTCAGCCGGTTCACCTGTCGCAAGTCCGAAATGGCGGAGAGTGGATCGTGGACAGCAATGTAGGCATCTGAGCGAGCTTGCCGGAAAGGCACGGCCCACGGCGAAATCTCCAACAGCTGTGTGATCATGCTAATGGCGTTCTGGTGATCTTCATGCGCGATCAACTGCTGCACAAGAGTCCACTGCTCCTGGGCCGGCTGCAAGCGGGAGTAATGCTCCAGTACTAAGCCATTGTTCGGTTCCTCTTGCAGCACTTGCTCAAAGTCCGTGATTGCTTGCTGGTACTCGCCGCTTTTCATGTGCACCACACCCCGCTGGATGCGTGCGGCTGTGAAGTCAGGCTTAAGCTCCAGAACCCTGCTGAAGTCCTGGATGGCGAAGCGGGTCTTGCCCAGCGCCAAATATACGGTGCCTCGCTTGAACAGCGTCAGGTAGTTGCTGGCATCGCCCTCTATTAAAGAGAAAAATGTTGTATAAAAGGTCGGGGAAAGTGGAAGAATGCCCTTGCAAAACATCTATTGCAGATGTTCTTCCACTTTTATTTACTCGGTTTTAATTACCAACAGCCGCATGATAGTGCGTCAGGGCATCCGACAGCTGCCCGCGGGCCAGAAACTCCTTGCCGAGCTCCAGATGGTTTTCAATATCCGCCGGACTCGCTGCAGACTGAGCCCCTGTGCAAAAAAAAAAAAAACAATGACGTGTATTTAGGCAACGTCCACAAGATAATACAAGTTTCTTATCTGTGATTATACCTTCTAGGAAGAGCTCCAGCAGGAGGAGCACCACGCAAGCGGCTAGCTTCTTCTCGCCGCTGCCAAACATGAGGAGGTCGCTCAATGGCAAGGCCATGGCTATGGCTACGTGTACTTTGTTGGCCGACAAAGGCCTGTGTGGGCGTGATTTAAACTTGATTCCGAATCAACACGCACGTCGGATCTGCTTGGCGTGGCAGCTGCTAATCTTCTTTACCGTAGAGCACCCCGCCCCCTCGTCAACACGGCGTTGTTGTTGCGGCTTTTATAGATTTTGGGTCCGTTTTTGGTCAAATTTCGGCACTCTGGGTTGTTGCACGCGCTGCTTCCGACTTGGTCAGAGCTATACGGACAAGGGTGTCCTAAATGATATGAAGTGTGTGGCTAGTCCCCGTGGGCATCGCTGCCCAGCTCACAAACTTTGGATTGCCAATTGCCTACGAACTTTTCGCCTATAAATATTATAAACTAAAAACTGACGTGTTCACGTTCCTTAGAGATGGGCGATGGTTAGCCGCAGGTGACCAGTCACAGATATTTGAGTCGCAGCTATCGTATGTAGGCGGTGACTGTGCTGCTAGCGATAGCTGTTTTCCAGCTAATTATGAATTGATGATAAAATATATTAATAATCTACAAATAATAAGGATATACATGTATGTATTATTTGTAGAATTATATAATTTTGACTTTTAAATAAATAAATGGATCATCGATAGATTCCCAAAATGTTATCGATAAGTGCCAATGCCCGCCCAATTTAAAAACGATTGACCATAGTTTGTTCAAATTAATGTTTATATGGAACATGAATTTGGTAAATATCTCTGCAACTACATATATTAAAATTCATAGTATATGTGATATTTTAAATATTCTCATACATTTTCTGTAATTATTGTAAATACTTTTCGGTTTTCATCTGGAAATAAATGCATTTTGTTGAGCATTAAAAGTTTGCCGTGAAGCTTAAATTGCTTTTATAACATCTTGTTTGTTCTCTTTGCTTATTGCTTATCGCTAAATGGTCATCAAATGGTCAAGTGGATATACCATACATATGGATGTGTGTAAGAGGCGTTCTGTGAGATAAATATGAATCAGAGATAGAGAGAGATATGGGGACTGGACTAATAGAAAGAATAAAGTGAGATGTATTTGCCTATAGAGTATGCTAGATAAAGCTCTTCAGCACCTTCGCGACTCTTCGATCCCTGTGTGCATATGGTCTAGTGATTGGATGGAGGGTATATTAGATACCTATTAGATCTAAGTAGGTTCGAGTTTAGTAGTTGGCGAGAGCTACGCTCCCAATGCAATGCAGTTTTGTGTGTATTAATATTCACTTCCACTTGTCTACGAAATCACAATGTTTATCAAATCATCCAGAGGATCAGCTATATTCGGCTGAGAGGCGTGTGTCTTTTGCATGTGAGCTGAAATCAATTGGAAAAAAAACTGTTACCAGTCACCAATAAGGTTTCCATAGACACCTACTTTTCAGTTTGATGTGCGTGACAAATCGTTCTTGGCAGAGATCGCACTTGTAGTACGTTTTGCCGGTGTGAACCCGCTGATGGAGCCGCAGAGACTTCTCAAACAGATAGGCGCGACCGCAAACGTTGCACTTAAAGTTCTTCTCCAAGACTAAAATAATTTTTTATATAATAATAATAAGAGTACATGGTACGGCAATCATGGATACTCACTCTCATGGCTCAAGCGATGCTGTGTAAGCACATACTTCAGGGCAAAAGCCTTGCCGCAGACGTCGCACACATTGGGCTTCTCCTTCTCGTGCGTCTTGATGTGCCATTTCATGTCCTGGGCCCGCTTGAATCTCTTCGAGCAATGCGGACAGGCGTGCGGTCTATCCTTCTCCGAGTGGACGGCAGCATGCCGCTCCAGCGCCGATTTCATGTTGAATCGCTGGGTGCAGCTGTCGCATTGGAAAAGTCCGGAATACTGGCGCTCCCGCTTCTGCTGGAGCACGCGCTTGTTGTTGGCAATCACCGGAGCTCCGGCTTGCTGCAAGTGCTCGGCGGACATGTGCAGGACCAGATCCTGCTCACTGGTGAAGGCCTGGCGGCACAGCATGCACTCACTTCGCTCGATGGCCGTCAGATTCTCCCTGTGCTGCTCCAGCATATGGATCCGTTTCTCCGCATACGATGCGAAAACTGTGAATTCAAGGAGATTTCGATTAGCTAGTGATGGGTGAAGGAGGTAAGGGTGGCTAGAAGTGGGTTGTCATGAAGTCGAAATGTATATGCACTCGTCCCGAACTTGGATAGTCGCCACATTGACTGCTTAAGATACAAATTGATTGATTTTGAAATAAATATTAATCAGTTAAATTTGAATATGAAAAGGCAGTAAAGGAAGGGCGATTATTCCGATTTCAAGACGAAGTTTTATGTAATTGCTGGCATGCTGCTCTCCGGGGAGTTCGTACGGTGGATGATGGAGTTGGTTATGCATTGGTTGCTTGGTTGGTTGGTTTTTTTGACGGGTTAAAACTCTAATCAAGTGGCTAAGAGTAGGTCAAAATACAAAACGTTCTGTTATTTGATGTTCGCATGCGATGGCTAGTAAAGGTGTACAAAAAGAACTAGGGGTTAGCCATTATGTTTACCGTTGCTTTAGGCTTGGCTAACACACACTAAGGAGACGGCAGAAGCAGCCGGACTTGTCTCAGTTCTATGGTCTTAAAGCGCTTGTTGGATGTGAGAGAATGTTCGATGAGGCGACAAATTGATATACATAGTATATGTGATTAATGCTCATGTTAGTGAGGCGATATGCGATCCTGTTTCGCTGCCCCCTAGCCGGAGGATCCTCCAGCTGTGGCCCGCATCCACTTACCCTCCGTGCAGTTGGCACACTTGAAGGGCTTCTCCCCGCCATGCTGCCTGTAAATGTGCCAGCGTAGGGTCTTCAGATGTATGAAAGCTATGGGGGATAAGCCAAGGTCAGATTAGGACACCAATCACTATATTTACTGGTATTTTTTCTTACTTTTCCCACAGAAGCCGCAGTGCTCGCTCTTCCTGGCACTGGTGCCCGTGTGCGTGTCCTCGTGGCACTTGAGGTGCCGCTGGCTGATGAATAGTCGCTCACAGCCGCTCTGGCGGCACTTGAACTGGCGTTCCGGATTGTGCCACTTCATGTGGTAGTTGAGGCTTTTTCGCGTGAAGAAACGCTTTTCGCACAGGCCGCACTCAAAGTCCGTCTCCGAATGGTACTTCTCGACATGGTGACGCAGATTATGCCGATCGCTGTACTTCTTGCCGCACACCTCACAGGCGTGCTGCTTTTCTACGTGACAGCTCTTGAGGTGCACAGTTCGGGAAGCGGCATCCTGAAATCGAGCCTCGCACTCCGGACAGTTATACGGCTGCTCCGGATCATGGCTGGCATTGATGTGCTCCAGTAAATGCTGCTGCAGCTGGTAGCTCTCCTGCGGCTGCAGGCAAAACTTACAGGCATAGCTAATGGTCAGTTCCGGGGGAGCAGATTCCTCCGGTAGTTGCTCATCCACTTCGGCTTCCACTTCCGCCTCTTCTTCGATGTCTAGGGCATCTACAAAAATCTGTATGGGTTCAGTGGCAGTGTTTGTTGGTTGTGTTTCGGCTGAAACCGTCGTTGTTCTTGTTATTATGGTTGTTTCTGAACCTTGGAGATCCTCTTCTTGATCTGAGTCCTCCTGCTGTCCATCCTCCAAGCTGCTGGCATCGATCTTGTCGTAAATGTTTGAAAGCTTCACCTGCGCCTCCTGGCAGGCCACTCGGAAAGCGTTGATAGAGCAGAACTTGGTAAAGCAGTCACTACAAATCTTCTGGGGCAGTCCGTCATTAGGTGAGATCTGTAATTAAAAATATTATGATATATATAAGTCATCATCGATTTTAGTTAACTAAACTAAACTGCTCTCTCTTATCTTCCAGTTAGGAAATCTTAAGATTGAAAGTATTTCCCCTGAGCTTGATAAGACAATTGCAGCTTGAAGCATAATTTAACCCCGAGTGCACAGACGTCATGGCTTTGTCTAGCAAAATCCCCTTCCCCTAGTGGAAACCCAACTTTCACTCGAAAAATTGTGCAATTTTCAAAGGGGAGGCAGCAAAAGTAACAACCGCAACCACACAGAAAACAAATTCCACGAGTATCTCTATCATTTTGTACATTTTATGCCTCATTTTAAATTAATAAATTTAAAAAGTGATTGGGAAAATGTTTTATGTTTATGTTTATTAATTATAATATCCTTTTATATATATTTAATTAGGCACATTTATGTTTTAAAGCTAAATAAAGAGGCTTTCTAGCTTAATATTCTTTTTAATTTTTGTACACATCCCAGGATAAAACATAATTTTATTTATTTATACTTAAAGCATCTCAAATGATTGTCCCCACACTCACCTTTAGATTCCAGTTGAGGAACTGCTGCCGTATTTGGGCCATTTCGGTTGGCCAGCAGTTGGAATGGTAGAGGTCCAGGAAGTTGTTGCTGCCATTTTCGAAGTCGCACACAAACATGGAAATCGCACAGGTGCGACACGTTTCCATGGCGGCGGCCGCAATCAAAGTGCCCGAGCCCAGTGCTGGCCAAAATGCTGCAGTGCATCACAGCAACGCCCGAACTGGTCGCCTCTCATGTGTGTGTGCATGTGCGTGTTGTAATTATGCAACTTTACCAATTGCGTTGGCTGTTTGCTTGTGCCAAATCCATGTGGAAGTCCAAATGAGCGGCCACATCCCGTAACGAGTCCAGGAGTCGCCCAACTAATGGTGATTTATATTTTCTCAACAAATATTTGTACAACTTTAATGGATGCTGATGCTGCTGCTGGGACTGGGGCACTCGAAAAAGTTTTGTGTCTGTATCCGGGTGACGACCTGCCCCCACCGCTGCTTCTCCACTCTAGTCCCTGCCTCCTGCTTTATCCTCTCCGCTGCGGGTATTTTGTCACCGCGACACAATCGGCAACCGACGAAGTTCGAGCTCCCGCGTGAACTGACCTTCGCTGTGGAGCAATTCGCTTGCAGCGCGCCGAGAGATTTAATGGCCAGAGTCCCCAAAGCAGCCCGAGCCCCTCCCCCCACCTCCAGTAGTAACCACCACCCACCCACTCTCTACCCCAGTCAGCTGTTCGCTCGGCTCGGCTTTGTTTGTGTACTTGCGCAAAAGCCCCGTTAGCAGCAATCAAAGCTCTCGCATGCGAAAACTGCACGCCAATGCTGGCACTGTGGGACGGAATCGCGGCCAAAATCCCACGGTTTATCGAACTCCCCATGCCCCATTAATTGCAAACGGGGCCCACTGTTCCGAGTGCCAATAAAAGCTCGCTCACCACTCTCACTCCTACTCCTTTCGGACTCTCTTCAGTGCCAAATAAAGCTTTGTTTTTTTTAAATAACGGCTGATATTAAGAAAAATATTATAAAAACTTTAAAATGATCAGTAAAGGGTGAAATAAAGTAAAATTGTATTTTTTTTTTTTTTTCAAAACAGTTGTCTGTATATTTCTATATTAAATATATAGATCTGACGACGCTTTAACGCGTTCATCCCGTCATTAACACAATCAACTATACGCAGGTAAGTGAGATTTAGAGCTATCTTTATGTACAGTTTAACGTTGCAAATTACTTACTAGAGTCTGAACCGATTGACACCACTAACTAGGCGGCAGGATGCCCAAGGCTCGCAAACACAACTGAGCCGCGTTCAGCTTGGCCTCCTTTTTGTTAAGGCATCCCCGTTCCGGCGTGTAACTCTGTCCATTGATCTCCACAGAGAAAAGGAACAACCGGCAATGAGGCGGACCAGTATCTTGGCGGAGCGTATACTGCGGCGGCGTCCACTTGTTCTTCGACGACAATTCGTTGAGAACACATACAGGATGCTTGTCTTGGGTTACTAAGGGCGCTACCACGGGCGCTACGGCACCCGGAGGCCCCGTTCCTCCCCCAAAATGCCCCGATGTGTTCTTATTCCTTCGCTGAGCCGCATTTGGGCGGATAGCCGGCTGTTGCCTAAGATCCTCACGCGACACCAGACCGCGCTTGTCAAGCTTTACGTCCAGGAGCAACGGTTGCAGTGATCCGGTCTTACACCTGCCCAGTCCCTCGCCCGGTTTCCAGCCCATTTTTTGCAACAGCGCCATGCCCATGCCGCCGGTCACTGGTTTTGTGGATGTCAGTTGGTCTTTGCGCACCCAAAGCTGTGGGCCGCTGTTCAGCTCATGGGCCTTCATCACCTGGGCACCTGTGCTGCCGGTGAACTGTCCGGGCAGGTGTTTGGAGTTGGCCCACGACGACATATTACGTTGCGCGTGATACATCATCTTTAGAGCTTCCGAGTCGCCAGGATTGTCCTGTTTGGGGAATTTCACGAATTAGCATCAGAGTTAGCATTAGATTATAAACCGTGGTCTTACCTGGAGACGGCGAATGGCACTGAGACGCTGTGTGATAATACTCGAGACATCCATGGAGGGCGGCGCAATTTCCGGAAAGATGGAAGGGCTGGGCGCCGGCGGTTCCTCTTTTGCCGATGGAATTGGCACTTCGGGCACAAAGGGCGCTAGAGGCACTGCAGGCAGGATATCTTTTGCATGTACAGCAGGCGGCGGGACAGGCTTGGGAGCCGCTGGAGCAGGATTTACATTTGTAACTGTACTCGGAGGTAAAGGCACACCCCCCACCGATTTGAAGGCGGGCTCCTGTTGATCCTGCTGCGGTAAAGGCTTTGCGAACACGTTCATTGGCGTTTCCTTGAACATATTGGTGGCCTGCTTCGCTGGTGGCAAAGCTGGCAGCGCCTTGACTTTATCCTTACTTTCTACCGGTACCCACACCTCGTTCATGCGGTGAGTCTGGCCGGAGGACACTGGAAACTGCATGGTGATGGCCTTGGTTTGCTCTTCGCGCAGGGATGTTGCCGGAACGATGGGTGTTGAGTTCCGTATGTGCATCACGATGGGCTCACGCTCTTTCAGCTGAAAGGGATGGTGAAAAGCCTTCGCATTGCCATTCTTGTCTACATCGGAGTCCTCATCAGAACTCAAGTCTGAAAGACCGTCGCCCTTGGAGATCTTCTTGCAGAAGTCTGTCAGATCTTGAACCGTGCGACCGCCGTAGCGCATCTTGACCAGCACCTTATCCTTGACCTCCGGCGTCATGTTGGCCACACCGGGCAGAGTACCTCGCTTGAACATGCTGATAGCATTCTTCCGCGCAATCTCCAGCAAGCGCTTCTTGTCGATTCCAAGATCTCGGGACCGGGATCGAGACCTGGTCCTTCGACGTCTTCTTGGATCCGTTTCACGTCCATGTCGCTTTATCTCCGTTTTGGGCTCCGCCCTCGTTTCTGGCTTCGCCTCTTCATTGCCGTCGTAGAAGCTGTTATGAGGCCGTTGCCGCCCGTTGGACGCTTTTTCGCGCAAGTAGGTATCCTCGTCGGAGAGCGAAACATCGGAAAGGTCACGCTCCTGCCGGGAGTTTGTTTTGCCGGCTTGATATCCTTTGGAGCGGTCCGACTCCTGGTGCCCGTTATAGAAGCTGTTGTTTGAACGGGCACGCTCCTTTTCTCTTTCCCGTTCCCGTTCGCGTTGACGCTCACGATCACGTTCCCGTTCCCGCTCCTGTTCCCTCTCAGCTCGCCGATCTCGCTCTCTTTCCTGCCTTTCCCGTTTAATGGAATGCGAATCTAGATGGCTGGTCGGCTCCACCGCGGATCGCTTTCTGTTCTCAGACTTTTCTTTCTCCTTACCTGTCGTCGCCGCGTCAGCTGTCACTGAGGAGGAAGCCGAAGGTGCCGCAGCTTTCTCCCTTGATTTATCCCGAAGCTTTTCCTTATCCTTATCCTTGTCGTCTTTGTGTTTGTGTTTGTGCTTCTTCCGTTTGTGCTTGTGCTTGCCCTCCGCATCCGAATCACTGCACTCGCCATCGGACTTTAGCGACTTCTTCTTTTTGGCCTTCTTTTCTTTCTTCTCCTTTTTGACTTTTTTCTTCTTCTTGAGCAGGTTCTTGTCGTCCAGAAGTTCCTCTGGAGGAGCAGCGTTGAATACGCCGAACAGCTCAGCCAAAATCTCATTGGACGACTTCACGGGTTCTATGGCTTTCTTATCGTCAGCGGAGGAGGAATCGTCACTACCGTCAGTCGACTCATCACCCTCGTCCTTGCTATTGCTCTGCGACGCCAGAGCCTCCGCCTTGAATTTGGCATTTAGAGCACGGAGCTTGGCCTCCACCTCGTCGTCCGGCCGTTCGCTTTTCACCTTAATTTGGGAAACTTCCCTGCATGTGAGTGGATTTGGCTCCGCTAGTTTCGGGTTATCCGCGCCTGCGGCGTTTTCTGTGTTCTCCGTCATCGCGCTTTCGCTGGAACTGGCATCCGGCGCTCGTCCTAGTGTCCATGCATGCTTACAGAACAACTCAACAGACAAATTAATCCCTTTTTGCGTTCTGTTTTGTTTTTGCAAGCCTGCAGGAACGTTTAATAATAGAGATGGCACTTTGCCTTAGGTGCTATCGATAATTTCACAATTCATAGCGATGAACCAACGAAATGAGAAATCATTCTAACTAGCCAAATAAATAATTATTAATTATTAATATTTTAAATAATTTCATATCTATAATTACATTTTCTCGAACTACTTAACAGTTAATATTTGATCACCTCATTTAAAAATGTATAAATTCGACCATGAATGTATTATGAATTATACTTTCAAAAAATTCCACAAGAAAGTAGTTTTCTTCATCGAAAGTGTGACGACTATTCTGTCAACTGAAAAGAAATCATTTCTATGTGTATTTTCATATTGCGAGTTTAACATTATTAACATCCTGTAATATGAGTAAATATATTTAAAAGAACGGGAAAAGTATATATTTTTACAAAATAAATAAATAAAATATTGCAGATAACTATTTGGTACATCTCTGGCGATAAAATCAGCATATCAACCCAGCTTGCAAGTGGACAGTCCCATCTTGAGAACCGCAGCCAACTTCACTCACGTCGCTGTCACGAATTGCAATTTTTATAAAGAAAAAAGAAATTGGTAATTTTAAAAGGCGTAGAAAGTGTCAGTGTCGTGGGCGAAACTTAATTTTTTAACTTCTCACGTAAGTAGACTGCCCTGCAGCCGAAACATTGCGTTTTCCTCCGATTGTGCTGCTAATTATTGTGTATTTTTTCGCCATTTCTTTTTTCATTGCCTGCGCCATCGTGCTGCTCTGCTCTGCTGCTTGACTTTGTGCGACTGCAACTGTGTTGGTTGGTTCTACTCTATTTTTCTTCGTCGCCCATTCGCGTGTGTCTGTGTTTGTGCGATTACATTTTTCCTCCAATTGAAACAAATTGTTTCGAACAAAACGAAATTCCCCAGGAGGCGTACGTCGCCATCTCCACTCATAATTGATTTTTAGCAGCACACGCATTTTTACCGACCAATCGCCAGTCGCCAGTTATTGAAGCTGCAATCAGCCAGACACAAGAAACGGACCGAGAATGACGTCGTTGGAGCAGAATCGTTTACAAAACTTTAAAAACAAAGGGAAGGACCAGGATGTAAGTGTGGACACGTCCCTAATTAAATGTTTGGAGCGAGAACTAATCCATTGGTGATATTTCAGGAGATGCGCCGTCGCCGTAACGAGGTAACCGTCGAGCTGCGCAAAAACAAGCGCGAGGAAACCATCCTTAAGCGCCGCAACGTGCCCAATCTGGACTCGAACACAGACGAAGACGAGCAGCTGCCCACATCCATCAACCTAAAGAAGCTCGCCCAGGCAGCGGCTGATGCCACCAAGCCGGAGCAGCAGCTGGCCGCCGTCCAGGCCGCCCGAAAACTACTCTCCTCGGACAAAAATCCACCCATCAACGATCTGATCCATAGCGACATTCTGCCCATCTTGGTGGAGTGCCTCAAGCAACACAATCACACAATGCTGCAGTTCGAGGCCGCATGGGCCCTGACCAACATTGCATCCGGCACCTCGGACCAGACCAATCAGGTGGGCAACTTAATCTAATCTTAATGTCAAATTGAGACTGACGGCTGTCTCCTTTTCTAGGTCGTTGCCGCCGGCGCTGTGCCGCTCTTCCTTCAACTTCTCAACTCGCCCGCTCCCAACGTCTGTGAACAAGCCGTGTGGGCACTGGGAAATATCATCGGCGACGGACCCTTGTTGCGAGACTTTGTCATTAAGCACGGCGTGGTGCAGCCACTGCTTTCATTCATCAAACCGGACATCCCCATCTCATTCTTGCGGAATGTGACCTGGGTGATTGTGAATTTGTGCCGCAACAAGGATCCGCCACCACCGGCTGCTACCATCCATGAGATCCTGCCCGCACTCAACGTGCTCATACATCACACCGACACGAACATTCTGGTGGACACTGTTTGGGCGATCAGCTATCTGACCGACGGCGGTAACGAGCAGATCCAGATGGTCATCGAGAGCGGAGTTGTGCCTAAGCTGATACCGCTGTTGGGCAACAACGAGGTCAAGGTTCAGACCGCCGCCCTGCGCGCCGTGGGCAACATTGTGACCGGCTCCGATGAGCAGACACAGGTGGTGCTCAACTTCGATGCGCTCTCCTACTTCCCGGCCCTGCTCTCCCACCCCAAGGAGAAGATCCGCAAGGAGGCGGTCTGGTTCCTGTCCAACATCACCGCCGGCAACCAGTCACAGGTGCAGGCCGTCATAAACGTGGGTCTGCTGCCCAAGATCATCGAAAACTTGAGCAAGGGCGAGTTCCAGACACAGAAGGAGGCGGCCTGGGCCATTAGCAATCTTACCATCAGCGGCAACAGGGAACAGGTCTTCACCTTGATCAAAGAGGGCGTCATTCCGCCTTTCTGTGATCTCCTCTCGTGCCAGGACACGCAAGTTATCAATGTAAGAACGGATTTGGTGTGGGTTCGATTGTCCCGTCTGATCTCGTCCATTTCATTTTTGCCCCACAGGTCGTTCTTGATGGCCTTAACAATATGCTCAAAGTGGCCGATTCCCATGTGGAGGCGGTGGCCAACTTCATTGAAGAGTGCGAGGGTCTGGCCAAGATTGAGCGGCTGCAGAGCCACGAAAATGTTGAAATCTACAAACTAGCCTACGAAATCATCGATCAATACTTTACGGATGAGGTAAGTGGCGTCAAAACTCACTCGCCAAGTGTGAAGTCGATGTTAACCCCCCTTTTAAATGTGCTTACAGGGTGAGCAGACCAACATGGCACCCAGCTCCGACGGCACACAATACAACTTTGATCCGAATGCCGACAAACTACCAATGAACTCATTCAACTTTTAACGATCCAATCCAATGGCAGTGGCATCAATGTGGGAGACCAAACGTGTGCAACATAACATACACTCTTTGGCGTTTAGCCGTACACAGACCGTTGTGTATGAAAATTCGACAAGCCAGCCGCAAACCAATTCACATAATAATAATAGCATTATAATTTGTCCACAACGCAGCAGCAGCAATTAGACAGCCAGACAGCCGAGTTCTTTCGAGAAGCTAGAGTACGAACTTGGAGGGGAAAACACAGCGCGGATCTGCTGCAGCCGTTTTAGCTTCTCTCAATTCTGTGTTATCAACGTTTAAAAATCCAGACACGTACCCTTTTGGTGTGTGAATGTTCAGGCAAGGACTAATCCGGCGGAAGTGACTCTGCTAAAGATCATCCAAAACACATATACACACACAGGAATGCAAAAGAAAAAAATATTTCGAAACAATGTAGAACTATTTGATTTAAATGAAATAATTTAAATATGTACGCCTTTGATTTGTAATTGAAATTACATATGTATACATTTCTAACGTGAAATTGAATGCGATAAAGTTAAGCATGAAACCATAAGCACAGGTGGATTGGTGACTTTGCGTTTCCCTGGAAGGCACTTGAGTTGTCGCCCGACTTGCTGCAAATTAGCATTTATTCGGATTTGTGCGTCACTCAAGCACGTTTCTCGTGAATGCGCAATAGCTGTCCCGTCGACTGGCTAAAAATCGCTCTCGCATGGAAACGCCGATCCAGCCAATTATTTATAAGCGATTACAACAGAGGGGGTTGGGCGTTGCCCAAGAGGCTGGACCACAAAAAAAAACAAAAATGAAGCTATACGGAAATTGTTTGAACTAGTGACTGACTCGGCATCAGTCATCCTACAAATAATTCGAGTATTTTTCAGGTGAGTACAATTCAGAACTAATGGTAAGGGGGGTGGGGTTGTAATTAGCTATCAAAACTAAAATTTTAAACTTTTACGCCTGAAAACTTAAACTTTTTAAAGAAATTATTTATAAAATAAATATAAAACAAGAATTTTAAAATTCAATAAGCAATTACATTATTTTAATATTTAAATAAATATTTATAAAAGCTCCCAGAAAGTGGCTGATGCAGCCCATTATTATACATTGTAGAAGGTTTTTGACACAATTTTCTTGTAGATAATTTTCATGTATTTATACATTTTATTCAGTGCATTTACGTTTTAATAAAAATGTTATACTCATTTTATTAACATGATTTATTTTAAATAAAAGTACAATTTTTTTTTATTAAACAATGTTATTTACATTTGTTTATACATTTAAAAGTCAAAAGCTTTTTGACTGTGTAGAGATGATACTTACATAAAAGCAAACGGTAGATGTCAGCTTTTTATTAAATTAAATTATTCAATTATTATTAAAGTTTTTTTTTATTAATCACTAAGGCGTAGAAAACATTTCATATTTTTAATATATTGCATATAAAACTTTGCATATATAATGCATATATGCATTAACTTACTATTTGTCCATCGCTAATATCGCGTGACTGCTAAAAAAAGAGGAAATTGAGAGATATTTTTAGATATTCTGTACTTGGGAATGTAGCGCTGCATTAAATACAGACACTTCTGCTTCCGTCAACACTTAGCTGCGGAAATTGGCACACTCTCTTCAAGATCAAGGTCAAGGATGTTGCACATTTTGAACTTCGCATACGGATAAAAACCTGTTTCCCAAAAGATATGTACATGTGTGCATATATCCATGTTATTTTAAATTGTTGCATAGATAAACAACAATTTTAGCACATTTTTAGAAAGCCCGGAGAGGAATACGTACACATGTGTTTTATTAACGTGGGAGCGTAAAAACAAGTTAGCTTTTAACGCTCTCCACGATAGTGCTGCCAGCATAGCCTGGCTATTTTTGCGAGGGCAGTCAAATTTATGTTATTTAAAAAAATGCATAAATATTTTATATACGAAAATATATTTCTTTTTATAGCTTATTTTTTGTCGGTATCATAATAGAACTATCTATTTCTTATTAGTACTCCCCTCTGGAAATGTAGATTTTGCCTTGAAATTTCGCCAGCACTTCTCAGCTGTTTAGCTTTGTGGGTGTGCGCTCTCTCCAGTTCTCTCGTCACTTCCTCTCCTCTTCCGCTCTCTCGCAAAGCTCCGAGACTGTGGTTGTTTAGCGTTTCCTACTAGATTTTATTTTCTCATCGCCAGCGAACGCGTTTGGAGGTGTCTGTCTCTGCATTAATTAGCAACGCACAAACAACACATAATGTCATCCGCCGCCGTTCAGCCCCCGCCACCTGTGCCCCAGCCCCCACCACCACCACCAGCCTCCACGGCGGCGGCCTCTGCAGGAAAGGGTCTCCACTCTAAGCTGTACAATGGGATGATTGGAGCGGCCGACAAATTTGTGCCCGCCAAGCTGCGCCCATTGTGGATGCATCCAGCTGGTAGGTGCTCAAATCATGATTCCCTATTTGGAAAATTTTTTGTAACTTGTTGCTTCTTTCCTCCAAAGGTCCCAAGACGATCTTCTTTTGGGCGCCCGTCTTCAAATGGGTGAGTTGACAAGCGAAGTGAAGGGATTACATAACTTGGACAGCGCGGCGACCTTCACTGATTTTCGTTATCGCACCAACACATTCGCACGCAATAAATCCGCAGCAACGGTAGACAAATCTGTGCGCAGGTGCCATTAAATGAAATTATTTTGATTATTCCGAGCAACCTGCGCGCTTGATAACCGTCAGCTGGTTTGTGTGACTGGATTGCGATTGTTGCCTGACAATAAAAAGGTTTCCAAAAACCTGTAAAGCTTTCTGCTTTCAGCTTTAAGACTTTGCCAATTTTATCCAAGATTCTATTAAGGGATATTCTTAAAGTAATTTTGAAATTTAAGTGATTCAAAATCCAAATACGACAGAAGTCTTTGTTTTGACAAACCGTTTCTATAAATAAAAAATAGATGACAAATTTTTGCAAACCGATAAATTATATTATACGCGTAATAAACGAAAAGATTCCAAGTTTTATCAAAATACTTTTAAAAAACAACATACAGATAGCCGAATGTTAATACATATATGTAAAAAAACATATAAACACAGTGCAAACAACTAAATTCGATAGAAGCTTTAATGTTTCTTAATCGAATTTTGAATTTGTTATTCTTAGAATATTATTTTTATTATTTATGAAAAATTTTATGAAGGTTAGCAGTGTGTAACATATAAAACAAGTTTATTTTGAGTTTAAAATTAAGAAGGATATAACAAGCTCTTAGTTTTAATTAAATATAAAATATTCAGTTTGGTTAATTTATATGACTAAATAATTATTTAAACCAGAAAAATTTAGGTCAATTTACGTGCAGTTCAAACTAGAAAATAGGAATTCCTATAGAGTTAAAAATATACATTCCTTAAGCCCCTACCAAAACCATATTCATTCTAAACACATTTCTTTTCTTCCAGGGCCTCGTAGTCGCCGGCCTCAGTGATCTGGCCCGTCCGGCCGATTCGATCTCCGTGTCCGGATGTGCCGCCCTGGCCGCCACTGGCATCATCTGGTCCCGCTACTCGCTGGTGATCATACCCAAAAATTACAGCCTGTTCGCCGTAAATCTCTTCGTGGGCATCACCCAGGTGGTGCAGCTGGCCAGGGCCTACAACTACCAACAGGAGCAGGAGAAGCTGAAGAAGGAACAGGAGCCCAAGCTGGTGGCTCAGAAGTAGAGACATATCATCGAAACGAATACCGGTGCTGTCCCCCTAAATCTACATAGACTTAGAACGAAATGATGTACATAGAGATCCAACGCCGCACAACGTAAACGAAATGATTAGGAAGGAGGAGCTGTGTTCGCAGATCGGGTATTTGCGTTTTACAAACTGTTGACCATTATTATTTATGGTTTTAACCGCCTTATCGACGTGATTCGTATTACTTAAGTTTGGATACGTGGAGGCTTTTTGCATATAGTTTTATGGATACGAGCATTATTGGACATTTTGTGATTGTCAAGAAAAATAAATCGATATATTGTAAGACTGTAGACAGTAGAAAAACGTTCATATTTTTAATTGGGTTAGATTTGATTAAGTTTAGAACGAAAAACCCACTAAATTGGGGATTATTTACTTACAAAAGCTTTAAGTTTAAGCTTTTTCTAAGCTTGTTTTTAATTATAGCTGCAATAATTAGCACTAAACGGGTTCAAGGAACCTAATTAATTTGAAACAACTTTTATTTTAAGTGACTTACAATATCTTAAGGAATTTAAGGGCCTTTAAATGCTTACAAGTGTTACCTTTTTTCCAGAGAAAATGATCATATTACAAGTTTATTTATACTTTATTTATTCAAATGCCATTTGCGCTCTAATATGTTGCACAATATGTATGTTTTATCAGCTTGTGTTAATTGTATTAATTCAAGATAAAAATGGAAATACGCAGACTCATACACCGATATCTATAAACCGTATACGGCTTATAATTAATATTAATTAATTAAGATGTGCTTTTATAGTTAGTTTATGCCTGATATGGGGGGAAGTGAGAAAAGGGGCCGGCGGCCTTTTCTATTTGTTGATAATTCTAGGTGATAACAGAGCTAAGTTAATAAACCTAGTGAAACATTAACATATGTGGGGACCGCGGACTCAGTTGTCGATGGGCACTTTGCTGGAGCTGTTGGGCCCCACTTCCGCACCTGGACAAGAGGATCATTATCGCATCCCCAATCGACTGACATTCTAATCACGCTAAACAAATACTTGATTAGAGAGAGGTAGGTTTCAATCATTTTTCTCTCCCGACTGGAAAAACCACATCAGTTTCTCGTTTGAATCTGAATGGCTTGGACGTTACATTACCAGGGACCTATTGCCTAGTCCGCAATGTCTGCCACGCCTCCCTCAACGCCGCCCAAGGTCCCAGCTTCTGCCGGAAAAGGACTTCACTCGAGAGCCTATAATGGCCTGATTGGAGCCTGTGACAAATTCGTGCCCGCCAAGATGCGACCCTTGTGGATGCATCCAGCTGGTGAGTAGAGTAATCCTCATGATACCTTGGATTTTTACAAATCCCTGTGTCCTTAGGTCCCAAGACTATATTCTTCTGGGCCCCGCTGGTTAAATGGGTAAGTTGGGAATCCCCCCTGCTGTTACATAATTCTGAACCCAGCGTCCTTCGCCAATTTTTCCTATCGGCTAGCTGATAAACAAATCTGTGGGCGGAATGCTACTAATCGCGCGTATATTGTATTTTATTATTATTTGTTTATTTCTCAACAACCTGTTTAGGTTCGCGATAAATGCGCATTTGTCTCACTCTCTTGGAATACATTTTTATTCGTCCCCACGCGCGAGATTCTGATAACTAAATGAGTTTGCGGTTTTCGGTTCTATGGAATTTTTCACAACATAGCCGGGAGAGAGAGCTTTGGCAACACGCCATAAAGATTTGCAGTCAATGGGGGACGGACTTACTATGCTAGACTATACATACTATCGTCTGATCTCTCTAATCTCTGGACTTAACTTGCCCATACAGAGTCTCGTTATCGCCGGTCTCAGTGACTTGACGCGTCCTGCGGACACGATTTCACCCAACGGATGTTTGGCACTGGGGGCAACGAACCTGATTTGGACACGCTATGCCCTGGTCATCATACCGAAGAACTACAGCCTATTTGCGGTTAATCTATTCGTGAGTCTGACGCAGCTCTTCCAACTGGGCCGTGCCTATAACTACAGGTGGGAGCAGTCCAAGTTGGAGAAGAGTGCCGAGCAGAAGCCAGCTGCCATTAAGGATAGTTCGTAATAGGCCCATGTACATAAATTAATTTCTTTAGACTTCAAAAATAAAAAATATAAATTTCTAGTCTCTTCATTTAGAAACTTTGAATTTTCTAACGGACAATAATCGATTTATTGATATCGTTACACTAAATTATAGCTGATAACGATAAAGCAGCCAAACTTCCATCGCTGACTTACTTAATTTATCGATACATGCAAATAAAGAAGCGGCAATCTATTGTGATATTGTCCTGTTTAATTTAATAATATAAACAAATACAACAAGTTTCCTACGAGATGGCCCTCGTTGACTATGGCGCCAGCAGTTCCTCTTCCTCTGAAGACGAAGGCTCCTCCAACACAGCTCTCACTGAGATTCTAGGCACTCTTAAAAGGTAAAGTATTTTTTCGTTTCCCCTGTTTATTTCTACATTTAACCGCCAAAGACCTGCCCTGCCCACAGCTGCCGCCCTCTTGGGTCCCAAGAAACCCAAGCCCGAGGAGTTCGTCGATGATGTCGTTGATGATCCAGCCTTGCATGGCGGGCGCATACGGTCTTTTAAGCACGAGCGTGGAAACTGGGCCACCTACGTCTATGTGCCGGCAAGTGCGTGTGCCGAGCAGTTGGAGGAGTTCCAGGCAGAAGCCATAGCGCATTTGGACCCTGAAGTTAAGCTGCAAGCCAATGAGTCACTGCATCTCAGTCTCAGTCGAACAGTGGTGCTGCAATACCATCAGATAGACGAGTTCTCGCGATCCTTGCAAACGGCACTCAACAGCTCCACGGGGTAAGTTTGGACGTACTCCAGGAAAAGTGATTGAAATACTATGTAGGCATTTCTTGGATCTTAGCTTTACTGCCACCTTGCAAGGCCTCCGTATCTACACGAACGAAGAGCGAACAAGGACTTTCGTCTCAGCTCCATTGGATGCCGCGTTTGCGGAGAAAATGGCTGCCATCCTGCAGCCCATCGACCAAGTTATGCTCGACTACCGGCTGCAACAGTTTTACAATCCCGCCTCCTTCCATGTGAGTCTCCTTTGGTGCGTGGGCGATGAGGAGGAACTGCTTAATAGCAAGCTCAAGGAGTTGCAGGAGTTGCTTGAGGACCAGGACACGCTTTCACTTGGTGTCCATGAAGTGCACTTGAAATGCGGCAAAAAGGATTTCACTTACAAACTAAGATAGAAAATGCGTTGAAGTAAAAAGTAAGCATTAAAATTTGATTTTTTAATTCAATATCCCTTTTTTTTCCTTAGTAAGGATTATAAGGGTTTTACTCTTCATAGCTTGGATTTTGTATAAGTAAAGGCAAAGTTATCCTTTAGCTCTGGCCCTTCTTTTTGTTACCATTACCCTGCTTGGCCGCCTGAGCCTGCTCCTCTATCAAACGCTCCTCCTCCAACTCCAGAAACCGCTGACGACGGCGACCCAGAGGGGTCTTCGACCACCAGGACTCGAAGGCTTCTTCCTCCTCCCGATACACGGGATCCCGAGAGCTATAAGCTGAAAAGTTAGGCTTCCATATAACCCCTGATCACTTCTCACTCACCACAGAACATTGATAAGCTCGGCATTGGTCAGCGGCTGGGTGCGAAGCTGAAGCTTCCTCTTGCAGGTCATCACCTCCTTGAGGCAGGCGTCGATCGAGCCAATGGTGTAACCATCGGATATCTTGGCCATGGCGCTGGTATCCAGATTGGAGATGCCGCCGGAATATTCGCTGCGGGAAAAACAAGATTAATGGATTGATTCTCGGAAGGATTTACAGGAATCTCCCACTGAAGCAAGGTTTTCCACGCATGCGACATGGCCCCATAGTCCGGACGTGGAATATAGATGAACCGATTGTAGACAGACTGCAGTAGCTTCTGGTCCGCCTCCCAGGGTAGGTTGGAGGTGCCCACGAAGATGACCCGATCCTCGGGCGCAATGTTCTTGATCAACTTGGGCAGATCCTTTTTCAGGCGCTTGGGATCTGTGCGGTCCGTCTTGGGTATCTTCTTCATAAACGGCCGCTCGGCGTCGCCCATATAGATGACAGCCGGTTGGAGCAATCGGGAAACCTTCAGCACCAGATGGATAAGCATGATGAGACCCGATTTTCCAGGATACTTTCCCACAATATTAGCCGGCGTCAGGTCAAACAAGACGGCTCCCACCTCCGTGCAAATAGCGTAGAGCAGAGCTTTTTTTCCTGATCCCTTGGGACCAGCCAGCAGAATGGAACGAATCAACGGAGTGCAGTTATGGATGGCCTCAGAGCCAAGCGGTAGGATGCAGTATTCCGTAAGGATCTGGCGGACGTCGCCCGGCGACGGATTCGTGCCGTTCCGCGCAGTCAATGCCTTGTCGCCCAAGAACTGCTTGAGTCTGAGCTCAGGATACTTGCGAATGATGCCATTTGTGACCAGTTCCTCGTACAGCGACTCAGTGGTGCGGTCTGGAGTCAGATCCTTCTCCTTCTTCTTCTTGCTCTTCTTGCCTGAGCGTCGCGTCTTCTTGCTGCTCTTCTTTACCTTCTTACCGACGGCGGTCTGCAGCAGCTCAATCTCCTGGCGCATCACGTCGTCAACGGCGCGACGGAACTCTAGCTCCACCTCCTGGTACTTGTCGCTGTAGATCATGTCCTCGTAGGCCGCTTGGCATAGCACGCCCGTCTCGTCCTTGTCGCGCCAGGTGTCGTTGAAGCTGTCATTGGAGGAAAAATTATTACAGGACTCCTTAGCTCTCCTATACCCACAGATCAATCTCCGTCCTGATGTCTGGCAAGCAAACCGATGGCGCCGGCTGGAAGCTGACTTCCTCCTCCTGGTTTTCGTTGACGTTCAGGTCGCCACTGCGAGCCGGCGACTTGGACTTGTCCTTGGTTTTACGCGACTCCTTGGAGGAGCGAGCCGACGATCGGCTGTGCTCGCTCTCCGTGCCAGGTCTACTGAAGATATGCAGGGAACCGCCCTGATCCTCGGACGGAAAGTCCGGAAGCTTGCCCGTTTTCTCGTAGCAGTCCTTCACCCAGGCACGGATCTCATCGGCAATGTCCTCCTTCATGCTGGCGCCGTGTTTCGTCCTAATCTCCTCTTGCACGGCCCGTTGCCGCTGCTCGAACTGCTCCCCATAGAGGGCCTGCGCCTGGTAGCGCTTTTCGTTGTGTTGCAGCTTTTCAAGCTTCTCGGCCCGCTCCTTGACCACCGCCGGTGGCGGGGGCAGCATGCCGATCAGGATCATCTCCTCCATCTTGCGGCGACGCGTAATCCGACGAGCCGTATGGCCGCGCCACATCTTCTGGATCTTCATGGCGGCCAAGAGACCGGAGTCACTGCGCTCCTTCTCACTGCGCTCTTCCGATTTGCCCTTCTCCTTGAGAATGCGTATCTCCTTCATGAAGTGGGCACGCAACCTACCCTGACGTGCTCTCTCATGCATCTGGAGCATCCGAATGGCCTCGATCTCGGTGGTGACGGTCTCCTCCAGCTCATGTTCCTCCAGCCAGCCCAGCTTCAAGAGAATTTCCTGCATGGTTCGCTTCCGAAACTCCAATTCCTGCTGTCGCTCGCGGAGAAAGTAGCGGGGAATCCGCAGCTCCGTCTCCATGGGCGTGAGGCGCAGACGCTCCACCACATCGTCATTGTAGCTAAACTCCATCAGATCAATGTTGACGAGGTCGTGCTTTAGCTCAACCACTCGGCCGAGACAGGCGTCCAGCAGTTTCCGGACCAACTGCCGTTTCTGCGGCTGTATCATCTGTGGAAAATATGAAATCCTGAACCTGTTAAGCCACTGCCTTTCGAGTAAGTGTACCCACATTGTCGTAGACATCCTCGAGGCGATTGCTCAGACAGATATAACGTAGATAGAATTCGTACAAGCTGGACTGCAACAGAGCCTTGGCATCGGCATCGGCGGCAACAGAACCCACTGCGGCATTCATGGTGGCCACCGTTGTCTCCACATCCTGGTGCTGCCTCTCATAGTCGATGGTGGACAGCAGCTCACACTCATGCTGGGCCTGGTGCCAGATATCGTTGAAATATGTGCTGGACATGGTTATTCTTCAATCTTTAAGGGCCTCTAACTGATTTGTTTGAAGATAAATCATTGCCAAGCTTGCAGAGTTGCCAAGGCCATGTTTTCTTTAAAGGGGTGGAAATGAAGACTAAACCATTTTTGTTTACATTTATATTGGTATATATTTCGCGTTTAGCCGTTGCCATGAGATCCTTTCCAGGACAACGCAAATAAATACATTTACACATATATATTACATGGAATACTTGAAAAAGGCAGTAGTCCAATGGATTACAATGGTTATATTACATGGAATAATCTAAAGATAGATACGCTTTCTCCCGTTTTACGAGTCCCTGGTAAATTATAGGGTAATATTTGTTATAAGCAGAGCTGGAAAATAACAGTTTATCGTTTCTGAACCAAAATAAGTCTCCCTTTCGAAGAACCTCTTGACGAAAAAGCCAATGATAAAAACACTTCAATATAAGTAACTCCAGTACTACTTATCTTAAAGATTACACAGGTAGACAGCTTTTCGGAACCAAGAAGAATGTTTCCAACTCAAATTCGGTTTCCAATAAGTCAGGTTGTCAAAATATTTTAACTTAAAAGTGCAGAAAATATGGGATATCAACGATATAAACTCAAAAGACGATAGCTCGAAGATCCAGAAAGATTTTTCTAAATGTTAAAAACAGATTTTGAAGTGAATATGATAACGATCGTTGTAAAAAAAACCCATTGGAAAAATGGTGTGCACCAGCTCTGGTTATAGGCAAAGATTTTACATAGCTAACATTACATTAGCTAACCGGGAAACTGAATTTTGATCAATATCTCATTGAAACTGTATACTTAATACATCGATTAGTAAATGGATTATGCACATAATGGGTAAATTAATAAATAGATAACAATACAATTGTCGCTAGTCACTTTGCGCCTTAGATATTATCAGTGGAACAATACTTGATCATGGATTTGGTATGCTTAAATTGGATGCCATTCGTAGCGGCCAAAACCTCGCCGATAAAGGTCTGAGAATTATGGATAGTGGTGCCGCCTAGGATGACCCTATAGCCGGCATTGTTCAGTTGATGTACGGCTAAGGCCTCCTCGTAGGTGGCGCCGCCAATGATGAAGACCACCACCTCCTGCGGTGGTCTTCGGAATGGCACGAGCTCGGAATTGATGGCCGGATAGAGGGGATCCAGTTCGCGACCCTTGAAAACATCCTCGAGGGATTCCTTCAGCAGCGGAGTGTGCTGGGTGAAGACATTCTCCACGCCCTTGAGGCCCTTGATCAGGTTGCGCGTCAGCTTTACGGCGTCTGTAATCCGCACCATGTTGAAGAGATCCCCCTGCCTGACATGAGTACCAGCATACTCGATCAGAGCGGGCACCACTGCAGCTCTTCCTCCACGCGTCTTGATTATTTGCAGCAGTCCAGATGTGTCGCAGTTGGCATGCCGTTCGTACCTCAGCGCATAGAGAGCCACCAGCTTGAGGGCATCCTCCACAGAGACCCTCTCGTCTGCGATTAGCTTCTTTATTCGCTGCAGCTGGGCCGAGTGCTCCGCTTTGCAGGCCATCTCCTGCTCCAGCTCGGAAACCTCGAACAAATTGCGCTTATTGCTAAGCGCGGAAAGTTCTCCGATGACGCACAGATGCTTCTGCACCGTTCCAGACATTTTCTTAAACTGCGGATACGACTCGATGAAGTTCTTCATGTCCGCTATGCTCTCCACCTTCTTGTGGTCGTTTGCCTTGCGCTGGAACTCCTCCATCAGTTGCTTGATGGTGGAGCCGATCTCACCGTAGTTGGCGTACATGTTGTTCCCATAGAAATCATCCTGGTCTCCGGATAAAACCAGCTCCTTAAAGTCCTTGGGCACGTTGGGTCGATTGGAGAGGTCCACGCGGTTGTTATTGATCTGCAGCAACTCATGAACCATCGCTTGATAGGTCCACTGATGCAAAAGAGGCGTCACGGGGTCGTCCCTTCGATCTAGTATAAGTAGCAATGGAGGGGCCGAGCCATCGATATTTGAACGAAAGTCGAACAAGCTTGATTCCTTGGTGATCTGCTCGTAGATCAGCTTGGCCAGCAGCTGGGCGGCTTGGGAGCCGGCCCGGTACCGGATCACGGGGTTCAGCTTAAGGGAAAGTAGCACCGCAGTGATGCCTTGCATGCTGTGGGTCAGGGCATCCGGCAGCCAGTTAAGGTTAGCCATGCAATTCGGTATGTTGAGGGAGAACAGATTGGGGTTGACGCACAGGTAGTCCGCATACAGTTCCTTCACCTCCCGCACCGACTCGGACTCGTCGCACTCCGCCAAGTATTTGATGTCCGTTCGGGGTATTATGTTGCTAAAATCTTTAAGATGGTTTAGAATTAAATATCTCACATATCTCCGCTGTACTCACATATGTAGTAGGCACTGTATTTGGGATTCCGAAGTTCGTTGGCCAGCAACTGGATGTTTTGCTTGGTGGGCCGGATGAAGACGATGCACTTTAGGTACTTTAGCCGCTCGTTGGACCTTCCGGAATCCAGTCGCTCGAACAGGTACACCTCCCTTTGCAGCATGTCCGACTGGCTAAAGGCCATCGAAATAATACTCGTCTGAAAATGATGTGTAGGTTTATCAATATGGAAAGGTTTGGCTCGATCCGGGTTCTGGTTCTCACCGTCTCCTTGTCAAGCAGGATGATTTTCATGCCCGGCCCCGATTCGGTGCACATCTTATCGATGTACAGCTTTATACCACTTATTAGGTTCATTTTTGCCAGCTAATTTACAGCGAAAACCCAAAGAATTTAATTTTTTCGCAAACAGATGTGTTAGAGGTGGCCAGTTGTCGATGGTAATAACAGCGATAGGCCGATAGGTCTTTAACAGCTATTCAGACATTTCCAGCGTATTTTTGTAGTCAACATTTCATAGAATAGGCAGATTTTCGAGATACCTATCTTTTTATTGATTAATTCATTTATATTTCCACATTGTTTTTATTTATTATTAAATAAATCAACGTTCACCACTGGCCAACAATCGACACGGCGCCGATATATCGATTCTAGAGTTATCAGTCATCAAAAAGCACAAGCTCCCAGCAGTCGGCAAGAAAGCTGACATATATTTTTGGATTTAAATTTTTATGGCTACCATGCAAGTGCACTGTTGAAAACCAGCAAGATACAAAAGTCTAGACGAGAGCCAATTCGAAGATGGAGATGACACTGGGGGCCACGCTGCATGTGTACAAAGGGGAATGGGGGCTGCCGTCCATTGATTTTGAATGTTTACGTGCTTTGGTAAGTTCCGTTGCATCACACAGCCGCAGCACGCCGTATTATCGCTATCACTGAACGCCTTCCTTTGCCCCGGTAACAGTGCCTCCTGCGATTCACCCGTTGTCCGATGGACGTGCAGACGAGCTCCAATCCGTTGCGCTCCGGGGCCGGAAAGCTTCCTTACTTGCAGATTGGCAACCAGAAGTACCCGGGCTACAGGCAAATAAAGCGCGTGCTGGATCTCGAGGTAAGTGGCGAAAACAATGCCGGGTGAACAAACTGCGCGGTCTATTTATGTATTTTTTTTGTATGTGTATATATATACCGGCTCGCTTCGTTCAATCACTCCTCCAGGGTTACCCGATTGATGCGCATTTAAGCACCAAACAAAAGCATTTGTCCAGCGCCTACGCCAACTGGGTGTTCACCAATCTGCATGCCTACTACCACTACTTCCTGTACGGCGAGCCTCACAATTTCGACTCGACCACGCGCGGCCTGTACGCCAAAAGAACACCATTCCCCTTCAACTTTTACTACCCGTCATCCTACCAGCGCGAAGCCTGCGACGTGGTCCAGGTTATGGCAGGCTTTGATGTCAACGACAAGATGGACAAGCACGAAGGAGACTATGTAAGTACATTTAATCAATTTCATTTGAAGTTTCCAAAATTAATTGCATCAGACTTAAGCAACTTAATTTGAAGAGTTTATTTCATCACTATAACCGAGCAAAGACCATCCTTATCTGGCTTCGTATTCCAAACCTCTTTCCTTGATAATGAACCTTCACTGTCATTATAATCTTGCTTTGTGATCCTTATTTTCCAGCTCGTTGTCAATGCCAAGAAGTGCGTTAATCTGCTCTCCCGTAAGCTTGGTCGCAAAGTCTGGTTCTTCGGCGACACTTACAGCGAGTTCGATGCCATTGTATATAGCTACCTAGCCATAATCTTCAAGATCACACTGCCCAACAATCCACTCCAGAACCACATAAAGGGCTGCCAAAACCTCGTCAACTTCATTAATCGCATCACCAAGGATATATTCCGAGACGAAGGCTACAGCTCCACGAAGCTCACAAAAACTCCGAGTGGAGCGGGCGAGAGTCTGACGCAGTCGGAGCACAAGTTCCTTGAGTCGGAGTTCAACACCAAAGTCATTGCCGGCGTTGGGGCAGTGCTGGCCATGGGAGCATTCGCCGCATGGCGTGGAATTTACAACCAGGTGGGTAACGATAGACTGGATTTGATAGACTTAAACCCATAACTGCCTGGAGCTTATTCGTTAGCTTTGGTTCAAGGTCTTCATTTGGCTCCAGACAGTCTGGTAGCCTTGCAAAGGTGCCGCAAAAAATTCTCAGTTAATTGCAAAATCCGATTGCTTCATCCCTTCCAGCTAACAGCACGCTCCTCGACGGACTACGATGGCATAGACTATGATGACGATGATCTGGAGGAAGGCCTCGATTAACCATCTCTCTGTTTATCTCTATGTAGTATATATATATATTTTAAAATACAAATGTGGGGAAGAAGCACAAAGAAGGCGTGAACATTAGATAGTGTCGAATTATGCGGAAAATAATCTTGTGACAATTCACCAAACTATCTTATCTGGCAGTGAAAATACTTTTTATTATTTATGGCAATTATTCTTGGCTTTCTCTTGTATATAAGAAGATTGTCTCAAGCTTTCGAGAGAATATTCACAAGATTAATTTCCCGTGAAACTGATATATCCCAGTGAAATCGGCCCAGTCATACATATTCGATATATGTATGTACTATGATTCGAATTCGTTTTTAAACCGTCTTGTGTAAAATAGCATTTTGAAACCATCTGAGCGTAATAAAGGAAGAGAAAGAGTATCAAAAACCTGTATCTGTGTATCTCAAATAAAGTAAATCAGTGTCCTTCGGCTTGGAGTTGGATTTGGTTTATTACACACTAGACTTACAAGTAGATTTCGAATAGTAGGGAGTCAATACGATAAATAGAGATGTTACGAGTCTACAATGGAATCGGAAGATGTATGCTTGAGGGAGAAGCCTGGCACTCATGTCTTGAGTGCATCCTGCAGCTTTCGCCGCGCCACACCGACACGATCCTCCTGCTTCCGTATGTCGTCCTCGGAGATGATCACCGCATGCATGAGCGGCTGTTCGGGATTCATGAATGCCATCGCATTTTTGGTCAGATCAGCCTTTGTCGAACTCTGGCCGTGCACGCCGGCATTGAGCATGTGCAGAGCGGTGGCCACCGATTGGAGGACGGTCTGTTCATTGACATTGGGACCAACAGTGCGTATGGTCTTGGGCAGTGAGATGTCATCGAGCTCCTCGCCATTGTCGTGGCAGGCGCGCAGTCGCTCCAGTCGCTTCTCCCAAAACAACTGTTTGGGCTTCTCCTGAGTGCCATGCTTGGCGTCCGGTTTCACCTTTCCGGGATCCTGGCTGTGGTTTCGAATCGCCGTCACCGGTTGCTTGAATATCGAGGCAGTCTGTCGGATGGGTGGCACCAGGGAGACATCTGTGCGCAGGGCTCGGCTGTAAGGGATCGGAAAAGGAATTCAATTAGCAGGGAGCTGGACAAAATACGTGGTACACCAAACAGCACACAAAACAAAACTTAAAGTGGACACATGCAGATGGACCAATAACAGAAAATTTCAGGTGGCACAGAGCTACAGCGATTTGATTGCCAATTGTGTTTCGTTTTTCGGATTTTGATTTGGTTTCGATTTGGATTTCGATTTGCTGCTGCTCCAGCTGTAGACTTTGCGGTCTGGGTTGAAGGCTACGAAAATAAGACGGGACACGCTGGCATGCAAGAGCCAAGTGCTCCTCCACTTGGCTCTACCTGAGTTCAATCTGCTGCTGCTGGCGGTTGGTTGCCGTGGGCGAGGACGAGGAGGAGACGGCTGCTGCTGCGGCCGCCGCTGCTGCTATTGGAGCTGATCCCGAGCCAGATCCCCCACTGCCCGCCTGGCTGCCCAGCTGCGAACGGGCCAACTTGCGCTTGAGGGTATTGGCCGCCGATCCGTGGCCACCGCTGCCACCGCCGCCCGTCAAAGGCAACGGCATGGCGCTGCAGCGGTACAGCGAAATGGAGGGCGACGGCAGCGCCCGCTGGTGATGTTGCTGCTGCTGCTGCTGCATCTTGCCGGACTGGAAATCAAAGCTGGCGAGGTCAAAGGACTCGCCGCCCAATTGGCGCGCCAACTGCGGCTTGCTCTCGACCCGTTTTCCTGTGGGACTGTGGCGGAACATGAACACGGCGGTGGAGGTGGGTTAGGTGGACCGTGTGGGTGTGTGTGTGTGTGTATACATGTGCGTGTGATGTGGGGTCGAGTGGTGTGTTGTTGTGTGGTGTTTATGCGGATGTAATAACAAAAAGGTAGTGAAAGTGAGTAAACATATATCCGATTGGACGGCGTGCAGTGTTCCGTGATTGGGTGCATCCCATCCCCCAGTCCCCAGCCTGCTTGCTGCTCCTCAGCGTCTTTACCTGTAGTAGAAAACATCCACCTTGTTATTGTTGTTGCTGGCGGTGGTGGTGTTGGTAGCGCTGGCGTTGCTATTGGAGCTGCTGCCGGACTTGCGGACCTCTTCACGCTGCCATCCTTTCGGCAGGGCACTGCAGTCGACGCGTTTGCGCTCGATTGTGACGCTCGGGTTCTGCATGCTCGCCGAAGTAAATAATTAACAAAATTGGAGAATGCAGAGCGTCTGGCTAGTAGCAGTGTGACCGTATCTCGGTGTGCGAATTATGCCACGCTCTTAGGCTGACTCTCCTGATACCTTTTTTGCCGAAACTATCAAAAGGTACAATAAATTAGTTTAATTTCCGTAAGTGCTGTATTTAATAAATAAACAGATTTAAATGTATTGGGAAATTATGAAATTTAGGAGTATTCTATTCATAAACAACGGTGACCTGGTCCCACTAACCCCTGCACACACTTTCCAACACTTAAGTGCAGTCGAAGAAGAAGCAGAAACAGCAGAAAGGGCGACGTAAGATATTTCCCAGTTTTCATTCACATTTTCCTGGCCCTCGGACCGCAGAATATGTAAAAGGAGCACACGACCACCGTTGCCGCCACTTACCGATTCCTCGCCACAGTTGCCCGCTAAGAACAACGCCTGCAGAGGAAGCAGTGGAAGTTGAGACCCTGAGACCTCAATCCGATTGGATTTTCACATCTGGGACAAGTGGCAGCTGCTGGGCGAGCTTCGCGGCACAAGAGTCATGTCGTCGTCGGCCATATTCGTGCTGGACGTCAAGGGCAAGGTGTTGATATCGCGCAACTACCGCGGTGACAACATCGACATGGCCGTCATTGACAAATTCATGCCGCTGCTGATGGAGCGCGAAGAGGAGGGTCTGATCACGCCCATTCTCCAGACGGCGGAGACGACATTCGCCTACATCAAGACCAACAACTTGTATATCGTGTCCACGACGCCGCGCAACAAGAACGTAAACATCGCCCTGGTGTTTGTCTTCCTGCACAAGATTGCCCAGGTTTTCGTGGAGTATTTTAAGGAGCTGGAGGAGGAGTCCATACGGGACAACTTTGTCATCATCTACGAGCTGCTAGACGAGCTGCTCGACTTTGGCTACCCGCAGACCACCGACTCGAAAATCCTGCAGGAGTACATCACGCAAGAGGGCCACAAGCTGGAGCTGCAGCCTCGCATCCCGGTGGCCGTGACCAATGCCGTCTCCTGGCGCTCCGAGGGCATTAAGTACCGCAAGAACGAGGTGTTCCTTGATGTCATCGAGTCGGTCAACCTTCTGGCTAACGCCAATGGCAATGTGCTGCGCAGCGAAATCGTGGGCGCCATCAAGATGCGGGTGTACCTGTCCGGCATGCCTGAGCTGCGGCTCGGCCTCAATGACAAGGTCCTGTTCGAGAGCACAGGTCGCGGCAAGTCCAAGTCCGTGGAGCTGGAGGACGTCAAGTTCCACCAGTGCGTCCGATTGTCCCGGTTCGAGAACGACCGCACAATCTCGTTCATTCCGCCGGACGGCGAATTCGAATTGATGTCTTATCGTCTAAACACGCATGTGAGTATCCTCTAAAGGACCTTTTTCTCAGTGGTGCTCAAACCAAATCTCGTTTCGACAGGTCAAGCCTCTGATATGGATCGAGTCGGTGATCGAGAGACACGCCCATTCGCGCGTGGAGTACATGATCAAGGCAAAGTCACAGTTCAAGCGGAGATCGACAGCCAACAATGTTGAGATCGTTATTCCCGTGCCCGCCGATGCGGATTCGCCCAAGTTCAAGACGACCATTGGCAGCTGCAAGTATGCGCCAGAACAGAACGCCATAATCTGGACAATCAAGTCGTTTCCGGGCGGCAAGGAGTATCTAATGCGTGCGCACTTTGGACTGCCCAGTGTAGAGAGCGAGGACAATACGGAGGGCAAGCCGCCCATACAGGTGCGCTTCGAGATTCCCTACTTCACCACATCGGGGATTCAGGTGCGTTACCTGAAGATTATCGAGAAGAGCGGCTACCAGGCGCTGCCCTGGGTGAGGTATATCACCCAGAACGGCGATTACCAGCTGCGTACCAACTAAGCGGGCTCAAACAGCGATCCCGCCCCAGCATCATTCCAGCCAAGCTTCAGCGAGTCATCATCCCTGCAACAGGTAGCTTCACCTCCTCCACCCGCGTTTTTGTCTGCGATGCGTTGCGTTAAGTCAAAAGTATATATTTGTATTCGTATTGTTTCAGTATATGTATATTGTATGTAAATCAAATTTAATAAATTTTAACACCTTTTCATAACACCAGCTGGACCAGAGTGGGTCATCAGTGATCAGTATAGTCCCAGCCGAGAGTTGACCCACTCCACAGGCACAAGGGGATGAGTCATAACAAACGGGTTGGACCCGCACAAAATTGTTTTTGCCTATTGCTTAATCATAATAAATGCACTTTCGATCGAGTCTCTCGGTTCGCTTTGATTTCTGAGTTGATGGATAGCTTCTGTCCTGGCGCGACGGATCTATTGCTTGAAGTTCTTCAAGGGGTAGAACTCCTTGTGGGCCTCAACGTGTTGCTGCAACTCCTTCTGCTGTTCGACGAGGTGCTGCGGCATCTCGGCGTAGACGCCCTCAAACATCTCGCTCCAGTTGGGCTTGGTCTTCTTCTCCGATACGGCGATCTGCTTCAGGACCCTCTTCCTCACATCCTTAACGAACGCGGATTCCTCCTCCTCGTTAAACCAGCCCTTGTGCACCATGTAGCGCTTCAGCTTAGAGATGGGATGCTCCACCGAGTTCCACACCTCGATCTCATCTGCCGATCGATAGGCGGTACTGTCATCCGAGGTGGAATGGTGGCTCACACGGTAGGCCAGGGCCTCGAACACCACTGGCTTATTCTCCTTTAGCACGTACTCCTTGGCCGCCTTCATGGCGTTGTAGACGGCAAAGACATCGGTGCCATCCACACGAATGGTGGCAATGCCGTAGCCCATTGGGCCACGTCCTGCAATGCCGTCGCCCTTGTATTGCTCGTGGGAGGGTGTGGATATAGCGAAGCCATTGTTGCGACTAAATAGGGGAAGATTTCGAAAATCAATATATTTAAAATAGTACAATAAGGAAATCTAATATATACTGGAAGGGCTTTTTAAATGAAGCTAACATCAGTTGATAACATAAATGTTTTCGTAAAATTATTTTATCTTATCAAAAGAGGTGACATCCGTATCTCTAACTATTATTTGTATCTTTGTTTGAAAGCTTTAAAGTTAGGTTATAGATAAAAAGTGTTTTGTAAAATTCTTCTCACAAACTCACCAGAACAGAATCACTGGACAACCCAGGGTGGCTGCGAAGTTGAAGGCAGCATGGGCATCTCCCTCCGAGGCTGCTCCCTCGCCAAAGTAACAGACAACACAGGCGTCGTTGTCCGGACGCAGTTTCATGGCGTAGGCGGCGCCCACGGCCTGTGGCATCTGGGTGGCTAAATTTTACCAAAGATTACAACAAATCAATTGATAATGCAGCAACGGATACTCACACAACGGACTGGATATGGTGACAAAGTTAAGTTCCTTGGAACCATAGTGCACTGGCATCTGCTTGCCCCGGCCCAAATCATCCTGGTTGCCGAAGCACTGGTCAATGAACTGATCGATGCGGAAGCCACGCCACACCAGGACACCCGCCTCGCGATACTGAGCGTAGATGAGATCACGCATCTCCAGGGCGGCAGCACTGCCAATGTGCGACGCCTCCTCGCCGAAGTTGGTCATGTAAAAGGAGATCCTTCCCTGCCGTTGCGATTCGTACAGAATCTTGTCCATGGTGTTCAGTAGCACCATGTCGCGGAACATCTTCTCCACCACCTCGCGGCCCAGTTGCGGATCCTGGCTCTCATCGGCTATGAAGCCATCCCGATCCATTACGCGGTAAATGGGTATGGGTGCATAATCCTCCGGCATATTGAGCTTCAGCTTGCTGACGAAGGGAGCCTTGGCGCCGGGAAAGTTGGCGTAGTCGGTCGACGCCTCCGAGCTGTAGCCCCGCGGTGCTGCTGCTGAGATTGCACCTCGGATCTGTCCAGTGGAAGATCAAAACAAACACTAGGGTTAATATCTCACATCACATACCGCTTTTAGGTGCTGCTGGTTCCTGCCCACGGCACCCAGCAATTGCACCGACTTTCGCAGGAATGACATTCTGTATAATTTGTATCTAAAAGCTATTAAATGCAACAGGTAAAGTCCGCAGATTCGGATTCGGCTGCGTGTGGGGCCAGCTGATTACGCAACAGGTAGAATACCCTCGACATGCCAATCGATTTCTCGCATATTTGTCATCGAGATCGATGGAACAGCGATTACATTTATATCCGCAAGTTGTTATAGTTTTAATTGTTATTTTATTAATTATGTGTTTTATTTTATCAAATTCCATCTTTGGCTACCCGAAATTAGCCCCTTTATTTATTTTAAGATAGAACTAGATCCAAATTAAAGGTATGTTTCGTTACTTTGCCTATTTTAAGTATTTGAATACGAAAAGCAATCCCAAGGAACATGAATATGTGAATAATGTATGAATAAAACATGGCATGAATCAGACTTATTTAAATTTTCCCCCAGTCAATATCGATAACAAGCGTATACTTGATATTTGCCAGTTCTCGAAGCCACCTTACCCTTTCGACACCATGTCATCGGTGGTAGAAGAAGCGCAATTCTGGCAGGCAGTAGGAATACTGGTCAAAAACTATCATGCCTTGAATAAAAAGATATTCGAAGTGGTGGTAACGCAAGTGGAGAAACAGCAGGATGGCCAGCTGCATGATTCCAGCGAGGAGGAACTCACGAAATCCCTGAGGGAGCAGCCAGACCAGCGCACGTGCCAGGGATTCAAGATAGGATACAAATTGCTGCCCAAGAAACTGGCGGAGAACATTCTGGCTACTGGGACTGTAGGTGGGAATACCAGTATATAAGTAAATCAATTTAAAAGAACTAAGCCAACTCTCAATTACAGACTTTGTGGAACGTAGCTATCAGTGCCAGTGTGCAAGCGATGCTATTGATGACTTCTCGGTGCGACTCCTTGAGGGACAGCTTAAATTGGAAGCCAAAGATAATCCGAATTGGCTGGAGTATGTTCTGAGGCCAAAGCTTCTGAGCTGGTCGCAGTCGAAGCAGGAGGAAGCCAGGCTGAAATCCTTGAGTTTGATAGATGTTGAAAAGTACAATGATCTGTACAAGGGGCTGAAACGGAAGCATTCCCAGCGCCTCCTAGAGTACTGGCAGACTGCTCAGGAGTCCACGGATCCGCTGAAGTTCATCTACGAGGACTTGGCCATCGCCGCTTACCTTATTGTCCTTTGGAGCCAAACCCAAACAGAACCCAAGGCTTTCGCGGACCTGGGCTGTGGCAATGGACTCTTGGTGCATGTGCTCAATGCCGAGGGCTACAAGGGCTATGGCTACGATATCAGGAAGCGGAAGATTTGGTCTCTTTACCCGGAGGACACCAAACAGAGCCTTGTCGAGCAGGCAGTGGAGCCCAACAGTTCCTCTTTGGACTTTCCCGATGTAGATTGGTTAATCGGCAACCATTCGGATGAGCTTTCGCCGTGGCTTCCTGTCTTGGCGTCGCGCTTAAAGGCCAATTTCTTTCTGTTACCTTGCTGCCCGTACGAGCTATCTGGAGCCAAGTTCAGGCGGCGGAACACCAAAATAAGTGCCTATCAGGACTTTTTCCACTACGTCACCCATGTAACCAAGGAATGCGGCTTTGAAATCCTTCAAGATCGCTTGAAAATACCCAGCACCAAGCGTTTGGCTCTGATTGGAATAAAGGGAAACACTGCACAGGACTCTAGGGATCTGGAGTATTTTGTCCAGGAGGAGTTGCGAAAGTACAAAACGGGGGATCACGAAATTAAGCTGCGCGAGAAGGAGGAGAACGTGCGAAATTGCACGCAGGTGGACAGATCTATCATCGATGGGCTGGTGTTGAAAATCTTCAACCTACTCCTTGCCGCCGATGAGGATAAGTGGCTGGGAAGGCTACCCATGCGGCAGATTGCCCAGACTCTGAACAAGGAAGAGTTGAGTGGGATTAAGTCCGAGTGCGGTGGCATCAAGACCTTGCTGAGGAATAAGCACGAGGTCTTCGAGTTCTGCGGCGGAGATCTCATAGGAATCCGAAAACCCAAGCCAATAGCTTTCCTGCCATCACGTCTGACCACCAAGAAGCGTAGCTGCTTCTTCAAGATGCATCACCCGCTGGGCTGTCCCCTCGCAGATTCCGAGTGCAGCTTTATACACTAATTATTCGCATTATGGATGTGGCGCTTGCTCACGTTTATTGTTCAGATTATAATATAAAGAAAAGTGCAATCATCTTCGTGTTCGCCGATTGGCATGCATCATGTGTCCATTGTACGATCTAGGCATCATGCCACGTCCTTTAGCGGGAGCTATCGCTGCTGTTGCTGCGGCGCCGACGACGAATGGGGGATCGGGAGCGACGACGGGGAGACCGCCGGCCGCGCATGGGCGATTGACGACGTCCGCCGCCACCGCCACCTCCTCCGCGATTGTTAAACCGATTGAACTGGGGCGGGGAGCGCCAGCGGTTGTTCTGCGGACGGCGCATGGGGGGTGAGGGGCGGCGCATGGGTGGTCGCTGCTTGGGTATGATGACTGGCGACACCGTTATCTCCTGGCCATCGATTTGGCCACCATCCATGTGCTTCATGGCCGACTCGCAGTCCTCGGCGGTGGCGTACTCTATGTAGGCCATTCCTCGCCCATAGTTCGGATGGTTACGATCCGTAGGAAAATCGACGTTCTTTACATCTCCAAAGCTGCTGAAGATCTCGAACACATGGTCCTTGGTCACGTTGCGCGTCAGACGACCGATATGAATGCGCACCGGCTTGGGTGTGGGCGAACGAGTGCGGGTTCTTGAGCGAGAGCGCTCCCGTCGCTTCGGTGGCGGCGTCCTGTCCACGGAGCCACGTCCACGTCGTCGCGGCGATCGCGAGCGACTTGCCGAGCGCGAACGCTCGCGCTTTACATTATTATTCTCGGCAACGGGCCTTTCGTTGGAGAGACCACGGCGGTTCCGGTCCCGGGAACGACTGCGACGCTCGCGATCCCTCTCTGGTTCCTTTCGCGCCTTGCTGCCCGGCCTCGGTGACTTGGATGCGCGCCTGGGCGATCGGGTGCGAGAGCGGGATCGTGGCGCGGGTTTCTCTTTTTCCTTGTCCTTGCCCCCACCGCCGGCGCCCCGACGCCTGTTTTTCTCGCTGCGATCCGAGTCGCTCGATGAAGACGACGAGGAGCTTGAAGAGTCACTGGAGCTGCTCGAACTGGAGCGCGAGTCTGAGCCAGAGCTACTGCGCGATGAGCTGCTCTCCGAAGAGCTAGAAATTATAAATTATACAGTTCAAAACCACCATTGGTAAATGCCATATTTGGAGGTTGGCCACAGTAACTAACCCCACATACGTGTGTATGTAGGTGTATGTTTGCCGGTAATTTTACCTGCTTCTGGAGTCGCTGCTGGAGGAAGCCGAACCGCGGCGTTTTCGTTCACGTTCCCTGCGCGAGGAGCTGCTGGCCGCTGTCTTGCCGTCCTTCTCTTTGGTGTCCTTATCCTTGTTGTCCTTTTCCTTCTCACCCTCACCGGCGGGACTCTGGGCACGCGCCCTAACAGCGGCCAAAGAAAGGCAGAAATGTTTCAATCGGGCTCGGGGGTTAAATATACTTTATTACTTACATTTTCCAATTGCAGATTGCGTTTAAGAGAAGCTAAATGGGCCAGCACACCCTACGAGGTGTTTGCTATTCGTTTTAATAAATAAAACCCTTATTTTCCAGCAGAGTTTTAGCGTTTTCGGTGGAGATTAGTGTGACTGTAGCTTGCCCAATGAAAAACCCTTTTAGAGCTGGGAAAATAATCGATACTATCGGTTCTTATGGATGTCAAGTGATCGAATAGTCCTAAACCAATTTCAATATCAATATTATATTCTCCACTACGTTAACGTTGTGAACCAAATTTAAAGGATAAGAACTTGTAATTTTTTCTTTGCCTGCTTTTTCAGTTGCAATAGAACTAGGGATGCATAACATATCGATACTGATATCGACGTCTGTTCATCTCTATCCAACGCGCATATAGCTTTCAGGTCGAAAATCCAAGAGGTAAACTCCCATAAAAAATAAAGATACACCCATACAACCAAGTGCAATTTGTATTCAATAACGATTATTATTTGCGCTACCGTGAAATATGAATTGTGCTTGTTTCCGCAACGTATGTATCTAGTGGAATTACATAAAACGCAATATTTTAAGGCCAGCACTTTTTATCTGCTGGTGACGAAGTGGTTGTCATTGTGAGTTCACGTCTGTATGTATGTATGTGTGAACTTGTGTTGATTTTGTACGTGTGCGGGGGAGAGCGGGACGGCGAGAGTGGAGAGCAGAGCCACAGAGTTTCGATTTTCCATATCTACACTCGCAGTGAAAAAGAGAGAGGAGCGCCTGGGTACATTTTACCACACAGCGTCTTTGTCCGTTGAGTCGGGAGCTCGGCTGCTATTTGTCTCGCTTGTGACTGGTGTGTACTATTATTTATTTATCCGTTTTATTTCAAATTTATTCAACTCCCCCGCCCCATCGATTGCGACTCCTATTCCGAAATGCGGTCGTGTGTGGCTATGCTAATGGTGTGTTTGTGAAGTGCAGTTATCCTCGCAGCCTATGCAAATTGGCCTGTGTATACCAGAAAGGCATTGGTCACAATTTAGCCAAATCATTGTGTTTTGAAACGCCAGCGTAATTGCCAAAAACCAGCCAGCCAACAAGCGTTTCATAGTATACATATTCATATAATCAGTGTGTGTAACGAAAACGAAACGAGAAAAAGAGCAATCGTCGATAAAGTTGACTGCCATGACTACGCAATAGCAACAACAAGAGGGGGGGCACTTGCACACACACAAGCACAAACACTTACACGGCCAGACATGGCTAGGTGGGTCCTCTCTCGCACTCTCAATGCCGCTCAGTGCCTCTCTTTGCTCTCTCCACTTCCGTCCGTCAATCTTTGTGTGTGTGTTGCTTGGGGTCCGGACTCCATGGGAAAAGCGTATATTTTGATGCCAGCCCTGCCTGTTTGTATGCGTTTATTTTTTATAATTTATTGTTTTAATTTTGAGAGGGCGGCCACCGTGTTGAGCGACCCCAACTCAGTGGCCGACCCTGCCCAAGTATGAATAGCCGCTCCACTCGAACCGATTCGCACGCAGAAACTCTTTTTGAGGAGTTCCACTTCCTTGGGCATACGCATACACAGGCACAGTTGTGGTGGAAATAATAGCGCTTAATGGCCAAAGTGTAGTCTGTTTCTGTGTTGCGTTGAAGGGGAGCCCTATATCGCTGTTTCTTTTTTTTTTATACTCCATCACGTCAGTAGACCCCTTTTAGCGTTTTATCTATGTTTAGAAAGCTTATCTTATCTGTAAACTAATGTTTATTACAAATATCTTAATCACTTAGGGGCGTTCATGCACTGATAAACGTAAAATAGTTAAACCCTTTCTATGGCAGCAACGATTTAAGTTTGGTTTTTTGTGAAGAATTTAATTTTCTACATTTAATTATTGTTAAATAAATAAATCTTCTTTTTTTTGACTTGGTTTAAAACTATAAAAATTCATTACAAACCTACCTATACCGCAAGTATATAATTTCTTTATAATTTCTAAATAATAAATAAAACAAAAATAATAACCCAAACAATTATCCGCTTCAGCTTACCTTGTCTGTATAATATTTTTTATATATTTATATTTTTTTAATTATATACATACATACTTTTTGAGGTTTGTTTACTCTGATATTTATTAAATTTTCCTTTTTTTGTACCCTAAAGTTAATTGCCCCAGTATTAACCATTATTCTTAAAAGATATTTCGCTCCACTTCGACCAACACCTTTGGGAAGAGACTACAGCCCAAAACACAGCACTATTATTTTAACTGCAAATGTATGTATATGATGAAACCACAATTACAACCATTGTCGTTATATGATAGTCAAGCATTTGTATATTGTATCTGCCTGCCTATTTTTACGTCTAATTTGCATTACATTGGCATTAATTAATACCCATTGGCCGCAATTAAAACCAGGCTTTTATAAATAATATAAATCCATTAGGTATTTACTTAAATATTTTATATCCACATACTATATACATACATTTATTGCTAACCAAACTAAACCGATCCAAGTAATTAGTTCTCAACTGAATGTAATAGCAATGTTTTCTTTTACTTTTATTTTCTTTGTTTTAGCATACATACAATATTTTATTGCTGGTTTTGGTGGTAAATTTGCATTGTTAACGGCCGTGGCCAGACGTGCTCCGCTTCTTTAACACACACGTCTCTCAAACCGAATACCGATCATCAAGTGTTTTCCCTATATTGACTCTCGTATATAGCCACATGTAAAATAAATAAAGAAAAAAAAAAACAACAACAATACTGATACTGATACCGAAAAGCAACTAAACCGAAAAATGTATACTAAATACATGCCCGTATGTACCACATAAGACCGCCATCCTGCCATTTGCCGTTGCCGTTGACACTGTTGTATCTGTATCTGTATCTCAATCTCACTGACCAACTACCAAAAGCAAGCGCAAATGCAACTGCAACTGCAACTGCAACTGCAAAACTGCACACACCTCAACCTCAGCTCAACTCAAGCTCAGCTCAACTTTTAAAAGAATAATCCTCGAACTGCCTACAAGTCCAACCAACCAACCTCAACCAACCAATCAATCAACTGTCTACCGCAACTGGCAACCGAACGGCTTTAGTTTGTAAGCTTCGTTTTTTTTTGTATACCTGTTAAAAATACCTTAGAAGACTGATGAAAAAGAGTACCAAGTACCTTGTAATTATTTGTATTTGTCCTATGTTCTTTTAATGGTTCCAAATACGATCTAACCCATCCATTTATGCTATATACTCTATACTCTATATACGACAACACGACTTTGTCACACTGTTTGTTTTACTTTGCACATGTTCGTTTTCTACTTTACGCCTAGTACTATTTATATTACCTACTTATAGAGCACACACCCCAACAACAACAACAACAACAACATACACATACAACACATGTACGTTAAGTGTAACCTCTTTATCTGTCGCTCTCTTGATCTGGAATCCTTCGATTGTACTAACTGCCCGCCGGGCGATAAGTGATAAGTTTTGTAATCAGTCATCCGCCCCACATACCTACCATTCATACCCAAGAACCCAATACCCGATACCCAACCGAAACCGTACCACTAATATTGTTTATGTTCAGTTGACACACTCATGTAAAACGAAAACACCTACATTTAGATATAGATATGTATGTATATATGCGAGAGGGGAGCTTAACGATGGGTTATCGTGTTTAACACAACTTGAAAAACTGGAAAATCGCTGGAAGTGTAAAATTTGTCGTTGCCACTTATCTATCCTATCATTTGCTGCGGAAGGAGTCGGCGGAGATAGCTCTCATATACACATACATATACATAATATAATATTCCCCTTAACTGTTAACTCTTTATATATCGTCGTAAATCGTATATCCGTACCTGTATCGGCAGCTTTACACATACATATACCCCCGAACATGAATTTATATACATAAATATCGTACTTATTATACCTCTCAATAGTTGAAAAACTAACCACGCACGTATCTCATCTCAGTTCCATATAATTAATTGACAACCTATTAAAGCTACACTGTTAAAACAAACTGAAAATTGTTGCTGTTTTATTTATTACGATATTACAATAAATATCTACATATATATATCCACACATAAACACACCCAATATCGATATATAAAAACACACACACATATATATATATATATATATAAATATTTTATTATTCTTGCCTAAGTAAGTATTTTGCCTACTAGAGAAACCATAAATGTTTTGTTATTGAGCATGTTGGCTTGTTGGTTGTTTGCTTTCTGTTCTGGAGTGCGGGTCCGGCTTAGAATACTTCCAAAATAAATAAAAAATAAACAAACACAAATATGTAATCAAAAACAATATACCTAAAACCCCATTTAGAAAAACTAGAGCATAATCAAACCCTTTTCCGTTTTGGATTTTTAACTGAAATGGTGGGAATCTGAATCGATCGAGTTTTTTTAACAAAGTTTTTGGAATATATTTAAGTCCATACAAATTAATTTTTACTGAAAAACAATACAGAGAATGAAGTGAGAGATGGTCAAGGTCACTGAAGATCCTAACGAGTCGCTAACTAACTATTTTTTATGATTTATTCATTTACAAAGACCTGTGTTCACAATATAGATTTTGTTGAAACTTCAAACTTCAACACTTATTTGTATTTTTTACGCAAATACATAAAAACACGAATTAGGAAAATTATTAACACTCTTTGAGCATTTGCGAATGCCGGCGAATCCGAACTAAGCCTCAAGTCTAATTAAATATCAAGCAAAAAAAAAATATGAACTTTGATCGATTTGGATTTTAGTGCTAAATTTCTATTGATTGCAAACGGAACGGGGCCAGCAATAGTTAAGTGTACAAGCGGCCACTTTATAAGCAAATCGTTTCGTTTCCTTCTCGTTTCCTCTACCGCCCCACAGCTGCGTAAATAAAAGAAAAGCCCAAAGAAAACTCTCGAATAGAAAACACATCAGTGCGACAACGGCAGCAGCAGCATGCTCAACTCCAATGCCAGCAGCAGCAGCAGCAACAATAACAACCAGAGCAACAATCATGGGGGCAGCAGTCGCCGGCCCTTTTCCCGCAATTCCTCATCGGTCCGTTCACATCGTGGGGGTAACGGCGGCGGTGGAGGCGGAGGATTAGGCGGTCGCATGCTCTACTCCCCGCATCCGCACCCACATCCGCATGCCCAACAGGCGCAGCAGCAGCAACAACAGCAACAGCGCTCCAATAGCCTTTTACCTGGCCACAGTCCTTGGTGCAATGCCAATTTGAACAACAACAACAACAGTGGCAGCAACAACAATGTTAATAACAAAGATGCTATCGATGGCAGAAATTCAAATTGGTAAGAGCCGAGAGCCGCTTGCATTTAGCAGCGATCTTCAACGATCGAGTTTATGTTAGTTTTAAGTGACAACCTACCAAAAAAGAAAAAAGCGAATTTGAAACGAACCCCATTCCAATCCCAACTAGAGTCCTGTATTGAGAGAATTTTATTGATCGAAAGTAGACTTATGAAATTAATTTATCACATTATGTGAAAAGAAATTTGAGATCGATAAGCCTACAAGCTTCAAATTCAAGGTGAAAGATCATGGATTTTTGGAAAGACAATCAATAATGTTTTTTCACCTTTTCGAAAATGACTTATAAAGTTTGAGATCATCCTTGATTAAAAACTGTTGATTTAAAGTCACTCCATTATTTTTTAATGTAAATTCAAGCATAGATTCTTTTAAATTCGTCTTTAAAGTCTCTTTAACAGGGCTCTAATCCGAACCGCTCCCGAGATCCCTTAGTCCCTTTATTCCTCCCGATCCCCTTCCATCCATGACTAACAAGACATATCCTTGTAACTCCCCGCCACAACTAGAACAGTTTATCTACTTTCTATCTACTATCTATCGATTACTTCGTAACAAAAAAAAAAAAAAAAACACCTGAACTGAAAAATCGAAAATCGCTTTTAGGCTAAAGGGAGAATTTTGTAATTAATGTCGCGTGTCGTAGTGCAACCAAAAACAAACAAAAAAACATTTAAAATTGGTCCTAACCGTTGAATTTTCGAAGCACTAAAAAGCTTGCATCGCATAACGAATATATAATACCTCGATCATTTGTAACTCTCTTGCGTTCTCTTTTGCGTACTGTAACTTTTGTGTTCTGTTCCTCGTCGAGATTGGCACATACACCTCTAACCATCCGTTACCGTTACCGTTACCATCCTTCCATCCACACACAAACTACTAATTACCGTTGTATCTATGCATTCAAATTACATTTCACATACTATACACACACGACATAGTACACTGCCCAGCAAGAACAGAGTTTTGATTTACTTAATGTTCATCGTATGTACATTTTTTAACCGCTTTTATTACCATAACAATGGAGCAGTGTCAAGTTCCGTAGAAGAAACCGTATTAACCGAATCAGAAACTACTCATTTCCGTTGTAACATCTTATAAAGAACGTTCCATGTTTCAAAACAGTTCCGTTCCCTAAGAAAATGCATGAAAAGCACTTGAAAATGGCGAACCAAACTTATTAAGTAGCAATTTCTCTTGAGTTTCGTAGTCGTTTCTTTGTCCCGAACGCTTCTTCTTGATTTTGAGTAAAGCGCGCCTAACGGACTTAAGTACTTACCAGCATGCTATCTCTCTCCCCGCCCCACTCTCTCTATCTCTCTGTCTGGCTCATCAACAACACCCCCAGGGGCTTATCTTCCTTTCCTCCCACCGACTATGTATTTCCCGCGTTGGTAGTTGGCAATTACTCGTAGTTCCTTTGTAAGCTTTTAGATTGTTAAGAGCAGGAATCAGCCGGTTGACTTAAGTGGCTATAATTGATTGGTCGATGAAAATGCAGCGCGGCGAAGGAATTTCCGGCGGAAAAGTCAGCGACCAACGACAATTGTAAGCAGTTAAATAATTAATTCGGGCGGGTAAGTGCTTTTCATGCATCATCGAAAGAACGGTTTATCCAATAGCAGAAGTAGAAAGGGACACAGATTTATCCAAATAAAGTTGTAGCTCTAAAAATGAATTAATACTAATAATCTAATTGAGAAAATTGATATTTCCGGAAACTTTCCACTAAACTTAATTTGCTTTCAAGTCTTAAAAATTCGATAAAATGCATAAAAGTCGTTAGCATTGCTAAAAGCAGCATTCCTGCTGAAGTATTGTATTTTCATATCAAAAATGGGGCACTAAAAAACCAGTTCACTTTGCGAAAACTAATAATTAAAATATATAATTGGAACGGAAAATAATAATTAAAAAAAAAAATAAGCTGAATAATGTTTTCCACAGAATTTCCATGTTTAAGGCAGTCAGGATTGTGCAGATACCGTTAAGCAGTCTTTCAGATAGGTTCAGTACATTATCAGCCGATATTAAGCCCAATCCCGCCGCCACCCACAATGTTTAAATTTTTATTATGGTTATTTTTTTTATTTTGGTTAACTTTCTTTCGTTTTGCGCATAGTGTCGCTTCACGTTTTACGCTATTCGTTAAATTTAAACTAAAAAACAAACAACCTGAAAAACCAAGAACAGACATAAATGCGATAATGATAAATATGTGAAATGCAACCGTGAAAAGTGCAAGCCAAGTATGAATTTAGTTACAAAATTTCCTCTTTATCCAAACCGTACCGTAACTAGTTGTAATTTTCTTTCGATTTCGACATTTTATGAATGATGCATTTTAGTTGAGTTTCTTGATTGATAGCTAAGTATATTGACGACAATTGATTGATTGATGTATTCTGCTTAACTTTGCGTAGGTCGGAGGCCCAAAACCGAGTCGAGTTTTGCAAATAATCAACAAACTCAGCTTAATGTTTTACTTATTTATTTGCATTTTGCACACTGCGGCTTAGAATGTTTAATCAAAATGTACCTCATAGAAATTCCAAAAAACCAAAACCAACCAAAAACAAAAAGTAAAATAATATTAATTAACTTAAAACAATGCAAAACCGACAAATTACCGAAAAAATAGATGAAAAATCAACTGTTTTCATATCTCGAGCATTCCTTCCCTTTCGTTCCTTTTATGTTTTACTTCCCTAGCTCTATCTCTCAATCTTTCTCTTCTACTGCCGGTTACTGTTTGTGTGTGTGTGTGTGTGTATGTAACTTTAAGCGAGCCACAATAACAGTTATAACAAATTCAATAATAATAAATAAGAACAAGAACAGCATTGTATGATCTTTGTCACACTCAGTTTATCCAGTATATACAGTGGCTCACAGCTTATTTCGTGCAGAGGTAAACTTGAAATTCAAAGTTGTATATCTGAAAAACTATAGGTGATATGAAAAAAATTTTAACGCAGTTATGTTAAGTAGGGCTTAAGCGTTTATTTAAGCCCTTAATTATTTTTCAATTCCACAAGATAACGAAAAAAACTTTAAAAAACGAAAAATATTGGTTATTTTTATGTCACAGCTTATTTCGTGCAAAAACGTTGGGTACATATAACTTGTAAATTGTTATTTTAAATTAGCTAATTTTTTTTGTAACTCATTGGAGGCGATATCAGCTAATTTATTTATCCCTCCGATGCTTTTCATATCACAGGAAAATACAGTTTTCTGTGAATTAACAAAATGCGCTCCGCACGACTATCGAACTGCGGGAATTGGTCCTTAATCATTTTAAAAATGCAAAAACTTGGCGAAATATTACTTAAATAATTAACCTTACCCTAAGTGCTGTTCAGTAAATCATCCCAAGCTTCAATCGGGAAAATCGTGAGGCAGATATTGGCCGAAATGCTCCTAACCAAATTTTTATTAAGCTTGAGGAAAGGTGAATTATCCGGAAAATTAATGTTAATTCAAAAAATTTGGCGACAAAACTAATTGTAAATGTTGGGCATGAAATGGCCTAAAAGTATTCCGTGGAAACCGTCCGCCGTTTATAACGGGAACACATCTTTAAAGGCCGAGTAACCCGGAAAAAGCCTTTCGAAACCAATACAAATCCGAAGTGCAGGCTTAAATTGGCCAAGGATCACATAATTTCATTCGATTTCGTTCTGGAATGAATTAATTTTCACAGACGAGACCAAATTCAATATTTATGAGGTCGGACCGAGACCAATATGTTTGAAAACAATCAAATTCAGAGCTTCACCACAAGAACCGATCCCCTACAGCCAAGCATGGTAGTGGTACTCGCATGGTTTGGGCGTGTATGGCGGCAACCGATGTTGAAAACCTGGTTTTTATCGAGGGAAATATGGCTAGAATATGTACCTTCAACTTTGGAAGGATAACTTGCTCCAGATCGCCGATATATTGGGCCCAAAGCGGATTTTCTGACATTACCATGACAATGACCCAAAGCAAAAATCGACTCTTGTGCAGACCAGGTTGATATGGAACTGCCCTAATGTGGTGAATCCACTTGCCCAGTCACCAGACCTTATCGTCCTTAAGATTTTGTGGGCGATTCTGGATCTGGACATCCGCAAGAGGTCGATATCTTATAAAAATGGTCTCAAAACAGCCCCCTTGGAAGAATGGTCCAAGATTCCAAAGGAGTCCTCAGAAAAGTTGATTTCTTTAATTAAAACTCTTTTAGAGGACGTCATCAAATAAGGTTAAGACAAAAAAAATTGTAAGTTTAAGCAAAACCGAAATATTTAAGATAAACTTTCTTGCACGAAATAAGCTGTGACATAAAAATAACCAATATTTTTCGTTTTTTAAAGTTTTTATCGTTATCTAGTGGAATTGAAAAACAATCAAGGGCTTAAATAAATGCTTAAGCCCTACTAAACATAACTGCGTTTAAATTTTTTTCATATCTCCTATAGTTTGTCAGATATACAAGTTTGAATTTCAAGTTTACCTCTGCACGAAATAAGCTGTGAGCCACTGTACATACTTCTTATACTCTTCCATAATTTGTCGTCTTCTATAATTGTTCTTTGATTTATAGTCAGTTGCAATCGCAGCTTTTGCATCTAGTCCGTAAGAGTTGCATACTACTACGTTGCGCTGACACCGGCTTTCGTTACGTTACATTACGATTAAAATTTAGAAGTTCGGCGCTTAGACACGCCCCTCTCCCCCCACTCTCTTGCTGTGTGTGTGTATGTACATAAATTAATAGGCATAAGTTCAACCATATAGTGTGTGCCCAGCTCGATCACGATCCTCCGGGATCTCTCCTATCCGTTCTGTTCCGTTTCCGTTCTCACCCTGCTAAATATAACAACAAATTCTAAAAGTATTTCGTAAAAAGCTTTTTCACACAGGCTGAAAAAAAAGCTCAAGCTTACCGTAAATTATACGTACGAGTTGTTTTTGTACCAGTTTATTTACGTTTTCGGTTTATGTTCTCTTTTGTATAGTTTTGGAGCATGACCAGCACTCTCTCTCTCTCTCTCTATCTCTCTTAAATATATTTATACGTATCCAATGTAATTTCTCTCGTGTTAGTGCTAGTGAGAACGTTACGTTACGTTAAATTTGAATAGTCTGAAGAACAGTGTGCGATTGGCATTTGTCGTTTTGATTTCCGTTTCCGTTCCTATTCGATTTCGATATCAATTTTTAAGATTAAGCGTAGTGTGCATAAAATCAAAGCGAGCCACAAATAAATAAATAAAATAGCAAACTAACCAAATTCCATCTAAAATGCATTCAAAGCCAAAAAAAAAAGCAGAAAAAAAAAAGGAAAATAGAAAAATCTGCTAACGATGTGAAACAAATTAGTACGTACGTATTTGTTTTATACTAAATGTGTGTAAATATTGATATTATATACCTATATCTATATTAAACTAATATCTAATTATTGCATTTTGCCATTTACATAAATATTATTTTTATCTTTTTCGTTTTTCTTTCTTCTTCATATAAAAAAAAAAACCGAAAACTACTGCAAAATAATAATAATAAAAAAAACTATATAAATAACGTATATTATGTGTGTGGCTACCACTCTGCATATATACACCACTACTACTACTACTACCTACTACCTGTACATGTATTGCATACAAATAACTATATATGGGTTGTGTTTAATACTACCACACACTGCTACTGCATTGATTTGATTGAACAATTTTCAACTGTATCTCGTACAACCGAATATTATATACTCTCTATATATACGTATATATGTATTACATATTATCTAAAACAAACTGCAACTGCAAACCTCAAAATCGAAAATCCAGCGATGTACAAACAAGTAATTCTAGCGGAACTTGTATTTATAACAATAATAGCAAAGCGCATCATCATCACAACAACAGCAACAACAATGGTCACACTCAGAGCCACAGTCACACTAATCATCCCCATTCCCCCCAACACCCACATCCATCACATCCCCCGCCAATGCACCACCCACCACCACCACAGCATTCGAATAGCAGCCATCCTTCGAATAGTCAGCAGCGTCCTCCGCAGCAGCAGCAGCAGCCTTATATTAGTAGTACTTCCCCGCCGAATCACGGCCAGAGTTCGTATCCCAGCTATTACGAGATGTGTCCACAGACCCACACCTATGGTTCCATGTCCGTTTCCCTTGTGAGACTGAATCCCGCCCGCTTGTGCCTCACGCTAGCACCTGCCACACCCCTCACCCACTCCCTAGTGTCGTTTACTCCTAGTCCTAATCCTCTGCCCCATCCCCACTCACATTCCCATCCTAGTTCCGCCGATCAGGTCCATTTCCATTCGATGCCGCTTAGTAGTCAGAACCATTCATCCGCATCCGCATCCCGGCGCCATTTTCATCCGCCACACCAGTACCATCCATTGCATAACCCACAGCAACAACAAATACAGACTAATCGCCAATCCCTCCCGCTAACACGAACGAATTCAAATTCAGCCAACAACCAAGCAACAAATCTCAATCCAACCAATCCAACAACAAATAGTAATCCTACTGATGTTGTGAATGTAAATTCTTGTACCGATATAATTCCTCATGGGTCTTCGTTTGCGTCTGCGTCGTCGTCGATGATGGCCCAACAACAACCACATCAAATTAATAACGCATCCGCACCCATCAATAGCCACAACCAGGGACAGCAGGGACCAGGGAACTCGGCCAATCTTGGCCACAATGGCCACCAACAACAGCAGCAGCAGCAGCAGCGCGGTGGCTACAACAATAACAGCCGGAATGGGATCGGTAATAATGGTAATGGAGGAGGGCCACCCGACTACATGAACTATCGTCGCGGTGGTGGTGTTTGTCCGGCTCTGTCGCGGGACTACTCCGGCAATGGCAACGGTCACGGCCACAACGGACGCCGACACATGTCCGACAATCACCAGAACAATGCCCCCGCGCCCATGAACGGCCACTCTGGACACCACCAGCGCAACTATAACGACAGGAATTTAAATAATGTAAGTTTAATGAAATTTTAGTTTAAAAGTGCTTTACTTAAGTATCTTTCCATCCACCAGCACTTCGGAAACTCGGATCAGGGCGGACCAGACCACCGGGATCGAACGGACGGCTCGTACAATTTCATGCGAAATGGAGGTGGCAGCGGTGGCTACGGACGCAATGGATCCCATTACCAGCACATGGGTTATAATAACAACAACGGTGGTGCCTCCACATCATCTGGTGGTGGCCCCGGGCTGATGGGAGAACTCCCGTCGGGATCGGGCTTGTCGGGCTCGTCGCTGTCACTAAATAACGGTCCCAACGGTGGCCTCAACTCGGACAGTCCGTCGCGCAAGCGCCGCCGCATCTCTGGCAGGAACCAGAACGGCCCTCAGACCCAGCACAGGTGTCTTCTTGCTCAGGTGAGTTGACTAAAATACTGTTTTTCAGAGAAATGAATGCGAATTTTTAAAATTTTTGTTAAGATAAATAAAAATGTCTTATTTATCTTAAACAAATTCTCAAAAATAATTAACCTTCGTAACCTACGCTTTCTATTGAAGGCTGGCCACTCTAATTCGTTATCGATAACAGCAAGAATGCCACTCTGGCAAATAATTTGTTTGTAGTTCATTTCCGCTTCCTGCGAACCTCTTCGAGATTTAAAAGCGTGGTCGTTTAATTAAAAATTCTTAAAATTATAATAATTCTCATATCCAGATGCAGCAGGGCAGTCCGCCACTCCGTCGTCCGCGACTACGCGACGTCGCAACCTCCACGCAGCAGCAGTACGGTCCCCCATCGCATCCTCATCCGCAGCAGCAGCCGCCATCAAACTACCATCCAATGCACCATCACCAGCAGCAGCAGACACACTATGGTCCGCAGCATCAGCAAGTGCCGCCGCCACATGCTCAGCGCTCGCCTTGGGATTTGGGCGGCAGCGGAGGAGGCGCCGGGGGAGCACCCACAAGTAGCACGGTGGGCCCAATTTTGCAGCAAGTACCAGCAGCGCCGCAGCCGCCACCGACTCACCAGCAGGCGGTGGGCGTGGGCTATCCACCGGCGCCGCCGCCACCCGCCTCGCTGATGGTGGACCTTAATCTCAATCAGGTGCCCGTCAGCCTGCAGCTGCGTCCCTCAGAGCCCTTCTGGGCATCCTTCTGCACGTACCCGATACCGGCGCAGGCCCGTTTGGCGCCCTGCCACCTGCACGGAGTCTACACACAACCTTTTGCTGCCGCTCCGCCACCAGGACTGGCGGCTCCACCGCCGCTGCAAGTGACACCGGTTCCGTCGCAGGCACAGATGGCCGCCGCTGCTGCTGCCGCCCAGCAAATGCTGGCTCAGGCCCAGTTGAGCGCCCACCAGGATCAGCGGGACGTGGCCACAATTGCGGTGGCCAATTTGGGACCCATCGCACCACCGGGCGCCCACCATTTGGACGGACATCACGGCCCCGGCGGTGGTCCGCCAACTGGTCCGCATGGCCATCCCCACGCTCATCCCCATACCCATCCGCATGCCCACCAGCTGCCACCGGGTATTCACATCACTCCATTGAGCGGAGCGGCGGCAGCGGCCGCCACGCACCACCTACATTCCACAGCGGCTGCTGCAGCGGCCGTTGCCGCCCAGGCAACCGCCCAGATGTCCGCCGGGCCGCAGCAGATTATCATCTCGTCGGATCGACGCACATTCCCGCCCCACCGACGCCTTCCGCGCTTCTGGCCGGCGAACCACGGCCATCGTCACGTCCTGCCGCCGCAGTCACTTGCCGCCCACCAGGCCCCGGTGCAGATCCAGGCCACGTCGGGCATCATTAACCCGGGCTTCTTGCTCAACTTCCTGTAGGTTTTCTTTGCAAATCCATACAAAATCAATCAAATACTAATAATTATTTCATATTTTAGGGCCATGTTCCCTCTCTCGCCTTACAACCAACACGATCTGAACTCCGGTGACACCAACGAGACGGAGAATTACGAGGCGCTGCTTAGCCTGGCCGAGCGTTTGGGCGAAGCGAAGCCAAGGGGACTCACCCGCAATGAGATTGATCAGCTGCCCAGCTACAAATACAATCCGGAGGTGCACAACGGTGAGTAGGAAGCGACATAACAAATATCACTAATAAGTAGGCAACTGTAAAGCAATGTAAGTTAGTTTCCTTTCTTGTTTTACTAATATATCTCCTACATATACTCTCCCTCAGGTGATCAATCATCGTGTGTGGTGTGCATGTGCGACTTCGAGCTGCGCCAGCTGCTGCGAGTCCTGCCGTGCTCCCACGAATTCCACGCCAAGTGCGTGGACAAATGGCTGCGCGTGAGTATCCATAAATATTTGATCAAAATAAATTATTAAATCGCAACTCCCAACGCCTCAGTCGAATCGCACCTGTCCGATTTGCCGCGGCAATGCCTCGGACTACTTTGATTGCTCCGAACAGCAGCATGCGGCCCAGGCGCAGGCTCAGGCAACGGCCGTAGCCGAAGCCGTTTTGAGCAGTGACGACAGCAGTGGCGAGGTGGCAGGAACCTCTGCATCAGCATCAGCAGCTACAGCTAATCCCCAGCAGAGCCAAGCGGCCTAGGCGCCATAGAAAACACAATAGCAATTCCATATAGCTGCCGCTTTGACTTTTCCTGGTGGACGACACAGTGGACGAGGTGGAGGAGTCATTTGGAAGAGCCCAGGATGCGGCCACCCACCATCATCAACCGCGCAACGAATCCAACTGCCAAACCGTCGATGCTTCCCCCTCAGCTATATATATAAGCGCCAACATCCTGGCCAGAGCCCGACTCGTTCTGCACCTCGGCCACGCCCTCGCACATCTCGCAGCAGCCAGCCTCTTCAATAGCTTGTCGTAGACCTTAGTTTGTATGTGAGTAACTAGGAGTAACCCATATAGGCATACCACCAAGAATTTGACTTAGGGATATACTTATATATTAATATATATTTGCGTGTATTAAAGCCGAATGAATAACAAGTGTCTGTATATAAGCCAAGATTTGCACAATATTCATTATAGATTTCCTTTGCCCCTTCTTCGCTCTCGAGGATATCCTACAATATCCATAAAAACAACTATATACGAACAAATATGTATTCATACGCTTGGAAGCGTTCTCCCAAAGGTCTCTCTTGATAATTTGCGGGGAGTTCAGGAATTATTAGTCTCCAAGAAACGAATGTTAAAGGACTTTGGGGGGCCGCTGCCAATGAGGGAAAGTGTCTCTTGAATTGTTGCTGTCCACACACGCCTATACCTATGAATAACTCCAAATTAAATACAGTAAATACTACAAAATGGAATATGTATATGTATACTTAGATTTGAAACTAGGATTTGTGTTTAGTGTTTTCTGCTTTTGAGTTGGGCTCGCATATTTGCTGCTTTCTTTCGTACTTTATTGTAATTACTACTATTATGATTAGTTTCTTTTTGTAACCACATACTATATTTATCCTAATACGACATACATACAAACAAACAAACAAGCCAGCATATATATAGTGCATTGCATTTTATACTAATTGTACGAACTGAACCCACTGAAGAAGTTCTTCTTCTTGCACTAAGCAAAAACCAAACAACAAAACATGTGAAGGACGAGACGGTATATCTTTAAAAGAAAAAAAAAGAAAAAACATAAATCGTATATACATATATACACATATATATATTTTTTTCGTTTCTACTTGAGAATTAGTAACTATAAACGGAAGCAACTAACTTTGAAACTTATAAGCAATCTTTGAAATCGACTAACCAGAGGAGCGGATGATAAGCGTTTCAGCATATATACTATATAGATGCATATATATACACACACACACATACACCATACACTCACATTCACACTCACTAGAGACGAGAGAAGAGGGAAACCAAGCGTAATAAGAATTTAGAGGCATATGTATATTTGGTGGGCTTATTAATGTATTTGTAGTAGACGTGTGCGCAATTAAACACAATGCAATTTGCAAAAATCAGGACACGCGAGTATCGTAATCGTAATCAGACTTTTCCAGGGCCAGCTGCCGGCGTCCACCTACTTCCGTAGTATTTTGCCTTTCGAACTGTAACGTCTGTAGCTCTAAACACCAGCATTAAATATTTATACATATAAACCTCCTTGAATCAACGTGACTTGTCTATTAAAGCGAGAGAGTAAGGGTAGAGGAAGGAAGTCTAAAGTTACAAATTAATGTTTCGCATCAGATGCGCGAGAGTACTGCAAGTATCAAGTATCAACACACACACACACCCAGATATATAGAGTTTCCTTATGATATGCGAACTACGTGCACTAGCCTTTGAAGCAGCGGGGAAGGACAGCAAACAATTTTTACCAATATACATGTACAAGTACCATACAATAAATATCTAACCAATTAACGTGGAACTAAACCAAACGAGAATATGAGAGAAGAAAAACACGATGAACAAGTAAATTGAAATGATTCCTGCCCTCCATTCGTATTAAAAACAAAAACCATTGAAACTAACTCAACAAACTTTTTATAGCATATTGTACTATGGATAGCATTGATTTTTTGTGGGAGTGGACGATATACATACATAACGTTAGTTTAGCCTTTTCGGGTATTATGCAGCAAGCCGTATCGTATCGTATTGGGGCATCCGTTGCTTATAGCGAGAGTTTCCAGCACTACAGCCCACCCCGAGTCCCCAAATCCTAAGGCCCCAAATGTTCTCAGATCCTTAATAACGCTATGCATTACCGAAATCTTGATACCTAGTATATATGTAAAATGTGTGTGTATTTAATATGCCCGGTACTTGTAGAGTGTCCTTCGAACTTACCAACACAATCCGTCAATTGTTTGCTTAAATAACAGAATCTAAAAAGTTTTCTTTTTATTTTGATTTGAAAATGAAGTTTTAATGCCAGCGCCTTAAGATATGTAATAAATTTCACAAAGGAAATCGAGTACCGGGTATTGCATGGTCGGACCCCTCGACTGTAGCGTTCTTTCTTGTTTTAAATCTATAAATGAATAATGGTATTTCCAAAAGACCATTGTAAAGGTGTTGTGCTTTTCTAGAATTTTATTAGTAGGAACATCAAACTGAAGGATAAACGAATGAAACCCAAAAAAAAAAAAACTTTATTTTTTGTCACAATAACAGAACGTTATGATAAAAGCAAATAATTATATATAGAATATATTATATACATGAATTGAATACCTTTTGTACGTGCACTGACATAATTACCTACGAGTATATGTAAAAAAATTCAATCAACCAAGCTAAGCAGAAAATAAACTCTAACTTTAACAAACGTATTCGTTTTTGATCCGGTTTCCCGATAATTTAACGATCTTCAGTTCGTTCTATATCTATCCGTCTATCCTGAACTAACAACACTAACACTAGGTGTTTCCATCGAATAGTTTTCCTCTAACAACTCTCTTCTGGTTTATTATTTTTCCAAAAAATTAACAAAAATCAAAAGCTTATCATAAAAATATATTTATAGTATAACAAAGTGAAAAAAAATAAAAATAAAACAAAAAAAAAATTATAAAGTTTTGCTGTGATGTACGTTATATATATTTAATTACATAAAATGCAATAAAATTTAAAACATATAATGCATAATTCCAAATTATTACAACAAAACAAAGTAAAGAAAAACCAAAAACGAAAAAAAAAACAACAGAATGATTATAAAATACAGAAACATTTTATGCATGAGAATTTCTCCAGAAAAAAAAACAAAATAAAAACCAATATGTACGACATACTATAACATCTACACATGTCTAGAATTTATGCAATTTTAAATGTGACTATTATTTTACATTTTTGTAGACAAGAACCGAGACACACTCTCTTCTAGTAATTGTAAAATCAGTTAACCATAGTATTAAACAACAACAAACGTTTTTTCAGTGGCATTGTAACGGTGAGCGGGCGTTTTTAATGTTAATTACAATAATTTCAATTTTCGGTTTTGTATTAACTCGCAAAATTTCAATAAAATTCAATGAACGTCAATAAAATAAAGCTGTGTTTTTTAATTCATGAATATGGGAAATATTTCTGGAAATGTACTTCTTAAACAAAAAATTAAAAGAAGATGGGTCTTTTATTATTGTCTAATTTTTTGTTTACCTTTTGTAAATTGAATCTATTAAAGATTTTTTTTAAATAAAAAAGTTGTTGTATAAATTGAATATAATAATGTTTGCAAAGATTATCCCATATTTATCCAATATTTTCAATAAATACCCTGCAATCAACTAAGGCCAGGATCCCCTTGGGGTTCACATGGAAACCTGTAGTCTTGAGTCGAATTTCGAGTGGCAATCAAAAACGATCACATGATTTGGACGTTTGGAATCAATTAAATCGCATATCGCATCTTTCACGCCCAAAAACCACACTCAAAATGTCGTTAACTGTCTGGGCGACGACTTTCCAGCGTTTAACCAACATTAGATGGCCACATGGGCCCGCAATCTCGGGTTGTCGCAGCATATGGCACATATGGCTGTGATTGGCATTTCCAAAATTCCGCATTACGTTTTGTTTTTGTTTTAACAGATTTGCAACAACAGCGAAAGAGTTAACAACAACAGATGTTCGGAGCAAGAGGCGAAAAGCGAAAAAAAAAAGGTAAACGAGTTGCCAACTAGGGACCTAAGGCCAACGAAAGAGATGGCGCTAGTGTGGGAGAGCGGGAGCAAGAGCACTAGATGACGACGGGTCACCGAGAGAGTAAGAGGTCCCAGAGAGGGAGCTAGAGAGCAACTTGTTTATTTGCCACCCACAACTGCTGCTGCTGGCTGCTGGACGAAGAAGAGAAAGATCACCGCTGCCGCAGCTTTTTTGCAATCTTCTTTCCCCACTTTTTTAATTTACTTTTTAAGCGAAAAATAATCTTTGTAATTGATTTATTTTTTATTGTCGTTGTGCTTTGTAGCTGTAGCCCCACTGACGTCACTTGGCGGTTAAGGTTTCAGTTATTGCCGTAGATATTGTTGCTGCTCTTGCCGACCACGACACTTTCTACAAGAAAATGTTGAGAAATCAAAAAAGATGCGACAGCTTCTTCTCTATGGATTGCACCGAAAAAAATAAGGAAGCTTCCCTTTCAAGTATAAATATTAAATATTTTCACTATTAATTTTAACGCTGATAACCACAAAAACTTGATATTTACCAAATATTTCGCCTTTGATTTCTTTTATATAAATGTAAAAGCATTTTTTTTAAATTAAAAATGTTTAAAATCTAAACTTTTCCAACGTGTATTTGTTTCTCGTTCGCGTGTGTATGCGTAATAGCCGCAAAAGTTCATTGGGAAAGTGCAACCTGAACCTGCTGGGAAAATAGACCGCAATTTGCTGATAAGAAAGAGACCCCCTTTTTGAGTGGAAAAGACGATCGTCTCTGTTTCAGAGCCACCGAACACAAATAAAACCCATTCAGAGATGGAGAATCTGAGGCAATTTAATTGATGGAAACGCGAAACGAATCCAAGAATGCAATCGGGGAACGTGCCCGCCGCTACAGTGGGTGCCATCGTTGAATTACCCCTTTAAATGGGCCCAATTGGGGTTGATTGCTGCGAGAGCAGGTCAATGCGGAGAGAGAGAGACTCTTATCGATTGGACTCCACACCGATCGCTTCTGGTTGCAAGTGCAGCAGCATGCGGGTTCTTTGATCGCAATTCCCGTCCAACGTGCATGGATGCGACTTTACGAGAACCCTAATCTCTATTGGCTTCGATAGCTTGTTTTGATTAGTTCGGTTGCTACGATCGTCGCCTGTCGTTCGTGTGTATTCGTAAATAAGTGGGGATGACATCACCGCCGTCTCTCTCGCTCTCCCAGTCTCTGGCGCTCTCATGGAGGCATCTCTCTTGGCATCCAACGCCACCTTTGGACCATGTGTGCGTGCACGTATTTGAGCTACAGTGGGCGTGGAGCATTAAATACTCATGGCAAATTTGTCAGTTCTATTTTTGACATTGCTCTTAGCTTTCGCAATGACAATGTGGACATGCCAGTGGACTTTTTTAATTCGAAAATGGCGCGAAAAGTGTTTAGAAACTATAAGAAAAAGGAAGCAAAATCGTTTTTAAATATATATTTTCTTTTAATTTAGCTTGATAAGCTTAGTTTTCTATTTTATATTTCATTATAAAAAAAGGTAATGACATTCTTACTAAATTCATTTTTAATTGCTTTACATGGCGTACGGGTCGTATGAGCAATATTCTGAAATTATTTAATTTAACATTTATTGAATTTGAAAAGCGTAATTATTTCATTAAGATGCAGAAGTATTTAAAAGAAACTACACTTTCCTGATTCCTGAAAATATTACTCATACGCAATGTCTAAAAAATGCGTAACAAATTACTTATACGCAGTGATGACTTGGGAAATTTACCCAATTAGTCAAAAATTCCTATAAATGTGCATTGCTGTGAACCGGGACCCACTGTGCCCAAAAATACCACTACAGAGCTTGATTTGTTGTTTGTTGGCCAACAAACGCCGAGAGCCCGCTACACAGGCAGCGGGAGAGAGCGCCAATTGCAAAGAAAGAGCGAACTCGAACACGGAGCCCCACCGCCAACGCCGACTGACTCTACGCCGCGAGTTGTATCTTCTCGCTTTTCTCAATCAGTCTTTTGGATTTCGCGAAACAATGCGGTCGCCGTACGAAGAGAGCGCTGCCGCCGCCGACCACAAGTACCAATACCAATACCAATACGGCGGCGCCAATAATAACAATAATTACTATAAAAACTATAATGTGAATGGCAATGGGCAGGCGAATGGAAATGGGAATATTAGTGGAGGCGGAATTGGAATTGGAAATGGAAATGGCAATGGCAACGGAATACCTTATCACGCGCGCGAGAATTCGTTGCCATTTAGCTATGGAATAGCCAAAACTTCGACGCCGCTACGCAAAACTCCGACCCCGACGCGAGCGGATAGTTTCCTCGATTCGTTCGATTTTGGCAGTGGAAGCGGGAAGGGGAGTGGTAACGGTGCCACCACCGATATGATAAAGCCTCCGGCCCGTCTAACGAGCCCTTTGCTGGTGCGCAAAACACTCGGAAACGGCTCTAGTCCCAGTAGTTCCACCAACACCAACACCATAGCCAACACATACCACTACAGATCGGGCAGCACCACACCGACGCCGCTGAGAGATACCTTCGAGCAGCAGCTCCGCGAGAGACGGGAAAAGGTGTACAACGAATACAGGGATAGAGAAAGGGAAGATCGGGAAAGGGAACGAGAGAGAGTGCCGCCCACTCCGCCGCAGCGCCATCACTATGCTAGCAATGGCTACGGAAACGGAGTACTGCGGAATGGCCATACAAATGCCCCGGCGAACAGCAAGTACAACTATGACTTCGAGTTCAACCTCAACCTGGACGACGTGAAACAGCAGGAGGAGCCCGCTCCCTACACCACGCGCAACATTCACTTTGAGGATCTGCGACGGGAGCAGGATGTGCCAGATGGCGTGGTCAATCGGCGGACGACCATGGAACGCAATTATCACACAATTAACAGCTTGGAAGCGACCCACAAACGCCAGCAGTTGGAGCCGCTGGAACAACTGGGCGCCGTTTATGGCCAGAACCACCTGGAGACGCTCACGCGCACTCGGCGCGATCTCTCCATGGCCGCTGCGCCACAGCTAGCTCCATTGCCATCGCCATCGCTGGCATCGCCGGGTTCGCCCATCTATGCCACTAGTGCGAAGAGAGTGAGCAACCCAAATACCAATGGCCAAGTGCAGATGACGCCTAGTCCCACCAGCAGGCCAGAAACGCCCGCCTTTCCGGTCACACCGCGCACGCCTTTTGGGGCAGCCTCGTCGGCATCATCAACTGGGTCGACCCAGTTGGCCTCGGAGTCCATCTACCAGACGGGTCCGCGTCGCGGAGGCGGAGCTTTGCCGCCTATGGAGGTGTCCGCTGATTCCGTAAAGTTCGCCAGGAGCTCCGCCAAGTTCTGGTACAAGCCCAATCTGACCCGCGAGGACGCCATCGCTCTCTTGGCTTCGGCCCAGCCAGGCACCTTTTTGGTTCGCGACTCTACCACTTACAAGAACTCGTACGGTCTGGTGGTGCGAGTGGCCCAACCACCGGCTGGATCAGCAGAGCTGGTGCGTCACTTCCTTATCGAGCCCACGCCGGAGGGAGTGCACCTGAAGGGCTGCGACGATGAGCCCGTCTTCACCTCACTGTCTGCGCTGGTCTTCGAGCATTCCATCAGCCAGCTGGCGCTGCCCTGTTTGCTCCGCTTGCCCGATCGGGACATAGTGCCACCGGTGAGGGCCACAACGCCGGCTCAGCAGCAACTGCTCACGCACGGTGCTGCCACCAACGTCCTGTGGCTATTCTCCTGCGACACGGAGTCGCTGACTGGAAACGAGGCTATCCGCAAGGCCATCCGGCTGATGTACGCCCAACGCCCGATGCCGCAGCCCACGGAGGTCCATTTCAAGGTCTCTTCGCAGGGTATAACCCTCACGGATAACACACGCAAAAAGTTCTTCCGGAAGCACTATACGGCGGATGTCATCTCACACTGCGCCATCGACCCCGAGAACCGGATGTGGACCAGCGAGGGTGACTCCGAAAAGAAGACCATCTTCGCGTTCGTGGCCAGGAGATCCCACAGCTCCACGGACAACCAGTGCCATGTCTTCTGTGACCTGACCGTAAGCCAGCCAGCGGCGGCGATTGTCTCTTTTGCCAATCGGACCCTGCCCACGGAAAAGCTGCGCAACTACGTCCTTTAGAAAGGCAAGGGGCGTGGCAAGCGGGCATGGGTTTACAGGTCAGCCAGCAGGATTCCACTGGAGTGGAGCCATCGAGCAGGTGAGAAAGCATGACGGGGTGCAGTTTGTGATGGGCCATAAACGAGCATTTCTTGGGTGTGGGCCGGCCTTGAAAGGTGAAACTGCCAATTACTGTGGGCCCCCGATTGAGTGAACTTGGTCTGTGAAATTTTCATTGATGATTCACGATTTCTGAAGTGCTATTATCTTTTGATTGATGCATGAAATTAGATTATTCGGTAATTATGATTGGAATAGTGGAAGCCATGGAAAATTATATTTTTGTTTGGCCTAGGGGGCTTGTTTTCGGAAATATTTAAACTATTTCTTCTATTATTAACTATTTTGCGACATTTGTAAGTTCTCTTTGTCTTGTAAGTTTAGGTGTCATAACGATTTGTTATGCACTTGGAAATCTATTTGTGTTATCTTTTTGTGTAAGACATTAAACTAATAATGACATTCTTTGAGGATGATTACTAATTGCTAACTTAAAAGGTTTAGGGTAAAAGCTACATGGAATAATTATGGTTACTCATATATTTTCTCTACTGAGCTCTTACTGGGAGGAATTCATTCATCATCGTTCTTCGCACCGAATGGGAAAACTATTAAAAACGCTTCAGTTTCTTGGGCCGCCCTTCCGTTGGCTGGGGCTCGTCTTTAGTTTGTATACTTTACATAATGCCTGGTCTGTTTGTTTGTTTGTTCAACGGTCTCCATATACTGCCAAGCGAGCACACACGTATCCAAAGCCCCCATATAGAAGCATTTGGCTAACATTTCTGACTCTGACTATAGGTTTTTCGCAACGGAAGTTTCTGTCATGAGTCAGTCAGTCATTTGGTTGCCCATAAATGATTGAGATTCAAATTCGATGGAGCTTCCTTCTCATCGAAAGGACCACACCTAGGTTTTCGGTAGCTGGTAGCCTAATTTGGTATTTCTTTCGATTTGATTAATTCCCTCCCCTCCCCTCCCCTCCTTTCACGGTCATGTGCTGAGGTCGCCCGATAAGGCCTATAGCGCTTAACTGTGCATTGCCATGCTACAGAGGCAACTTTTTCATTTTCATTACTTAACTTACCTTACTTAACGGGCGAGCATTTTCGCTATCAGCCGGCCAGGTGATCCAGTCAGTAGTAAAATTGGGTGAGGGGGGCTAAAAAAAGATCTGCCCACGAGTATCATAAATTCCTGATGCCCTGTTTATGCCAGAGAGCTTTAGAAGATATTTTGGAATCACTTGATAAGAAACTCGTTCGTTCTAAGGTGGTCGTCCTATTCCACCTTGAATCTTTTGGATCTTTGGAATTTTTCACTTGAACTATAAAGCCAAAATATGCAAATAAACAGACGTTCCGTTCGTTCATAGAAATCGATTTTTGCGTACACCAGTATATAGCGCAAAAGTTTAAATAAATTCATACAAACTCAAGGCGGGCGGCGGCAATTGCGCATTTTAGAAAAACTGAATCGAACACACAAAAATTAATTCCAGACGCGTTTGCGTTTATTTTCTCTATTTATTCGTGTTTCTCTCCCAATAAGGGGGGCTTGGATAAAAGATACTCTGTAAATAAAACCTGAGAGAGGTCTGAAAATAAAATAATAAATATTATTATTAAAAAATGGGGGCCCCCTGCAATTGGTATTTAGCCTCGAGGGGCTCCCATTGTTTTTTCCGATCGAATGATCTATTTGATCTGCAATTAAGCAACTGCTACACGAACAAAATGAACACGTATTGTACATACATTGGGGATTTATGACCTTGCTGTTGCTGCTCTGATCTAAACGAATTTCTTCTTTCATCTTTCCATTGCAGGCCCCCCCACCCACCATCCAGTGCTGTGGGATGTACTAACTAATCACTTTACGAAATTGTGTCTTGCGATATAATGAGCTTAACTACGAATATGTTAACAGAAAATGATGTCAGCCGTAGTTTATTTGGACACGCACACACTCCGAGAAGGCGGCAATATATTTATGGCAAAGCTAAAATACACACATGTGTGTATTATCAACTTGAATTGACTAAATGCACAGTGGGGCAAGTGGATGCGGACCCAGACAGCCTGATAACAGCTGGTGGAAGTGCCAATTCATAATTGTTTATATGTCGAATATATAAACAAAGCTATGATGTGTTTGGGACACATTAAGGAAACCAGTTCCACTGTGCAGCTGAGAATTGGAATTGATCACCGAAAGTTGACGTTTTATTAGCGAAAAAATAATATATACTTTTGAGTTGTGTGTGCGTATTTATATATATATATCCCTACGGCTACAAGGTGCGCTTGTCAGACAAACGGAAATAAACTAATATATATCAGATAATTTAAAATGGATTAATGTTAATGTTAGAAAGTTGTTGAATAAAACCCCCACAAGTCCCCTAATTTATACCAGTAATATCTAAACATATATGTATTTGCGTAATAGTCTTAAGCTTTACTAATGCAGTCAATATAAATAAACGAATAAAGTGCAATGTTGTTAAACAGATAACGATGGTGTACTATTATTTTACTGAGAGATACTTACATGCAAAAAGTTGTCAGCAGGCAGCATCTGTTGCTAAAACTTTGTTATCTAACTAAAAATACAGACACTGCGCGTTCTACATTTCAGGGCTGTTGTTAATGTCATATATCAACAGACATGTGTTGAGTCGTCGTCGTCGCTGGCTTTTGTTGAACAATTAATTGTATATACCCACGGGCAATATACAATATAATACCATATAACCATATGCATGCATATGTATGAACAACAATTGTTTTGTAATTCAATCTTATCGTTTGACATCGTCGAGATCTCTATGGTCAAGCCAGCAAGAGGAACACGACACGCAGTCCAGTCCAGTCAAGTCACCCTTGCATCCATTGGATTCACTGCTTATTCCCGCCTGCTCCAAAAGATACAAGCTACCAGATATGAAAAGTGGACGCTTAATGCAATGTATTTAGGTGGCCGTAAGCAGCCAACAGCCCACAGTCAAGTGTGCCAAGTGAAATGAAAACGCGTCCGTCGACTCCGACCTTGAGATCAATTTGTGGCGGCCTGACGTCATCGCCTTTCAATAGCAAAACAAAAACCAAAAACGAGACAGCTGCCTTGTGTTTTTCAGAATTTCTTACAGAATTTTTACAAATTAAGTTTTAGGCTAATGCTCCCAGCGATCTCTGGCTAGGTAGGTACACCCACAATTTAATGATTTCTTTCTGATGATTCGTTGGCGCCCGTGTATTTCGGCAGCCGACGTTCATTCTATTTTCAACGGACTGCTAATTTCCTATACGTATATGTTGTGTTTGTCGCCGAAAAGAGACCGAAACCTGTTTGTCATGTTCTTTGCCTAAATTTGATAATTAATTGATCGGCGGAGAAACGGCAAAGGCAGCAACAACAACACCGGTTGCATGAGCTGCTCTGAGGCAAACACAGCCTTATCCGCCGCACCGGTGATGAAAGCAAAAGCCACCGAGATTCCAAGCGCGACAACACTGTGCAAGTTTTTTTTGTATCTTACATTTAATACATTTTTGGATTTGGTTGTTGTGTGTACAAAAGTGAACATAAAATCAACGTTCGTTCGGTGTGTTTGCTTTAGATATCTACATAGCTACATATACAATATCGTTCAGTTAAACATAATAAATACATTTCAATAATATATACTAGCATACTTGTGTGTGTGTGTGTGTGTGTGTATGTATATATAACAAATAATACATCCAGATTTAGCAGAGCCCGACCCGCAGCATTCGCAGCACTCGGCGGACCCCCAGCCGGCAGATTCAACATTACGCGTGAAAACAGAATTTTGTGTGTGTACAAAAATACATCATAATATATAGCCCCACCACATCCCGTTCCTTTACGTTACGTTCCAATTGGATTTGTGTGGCATCAAAATTTATCTAGTCTCCAAATTTCTGTCAATTTGAATTCAGCAAAATGGGTATAATAATAAAAAGCTCAGAGGGAAATAACTTATAAGGCGCCACTAGTCCTGTGCCTGTAATCAAATACGGTTTGGGTATCCTTGTGATTTGTCTCGTATTTAAGCTTAGTTACAAAAATTTCTCTAGGTTTTCACGAGCCTATTGCCATATTGCCATTTTCCGTTCAAGTTCTCGCTCCTATTAAAGCTGTCTTTGGAGTCGGAGAGCGATTAATTTGACTTTGCCGAATACGGACTGGTTGAGCCCACTGACGGAGGGGTGGGCGTTGCTCCACTACGTATACCATCACCCTCGCACACATATTTGCCTGCAAATAATTAAGAGAGTTAATCTCAGAGACACACTTGGTTGGTGGTCATTTGTCCATTTATGCATACCGGAAACAAAGCGTCTCTTAACCAGCGACAGGCGATAGCCGCTACCCTGAAGTTCGAATTCGATGCCCGAGAGTGTGGTGCCTTCGCAATTGAACTGGGTCGCCAGTAGCGCCGGCGTCGAAGGACCATCGTTGAGCTCCAAACGGGCACGCAGAGTGCCCACGCCACCGTCCTGAGAATTCTGCGATATGTCGGTGAAGTTCCACACCAAACGATTTGATTCACCCAACCTGGGAAAGGTAATAAATAGGGATTAGGGATTATGTAAATAACATTTCATATTTTTTGTTACTCACCAGGCAGAATGCGGTTTGGATTGGACATTGCGGACTGATCCGTTGACGGGTACCGAGAGCGTGACATTCAGCAGAGGCGAGGCACTGGCCATGGCGTGATTATTGTACTTGTAGTCCACTTTGAGCGCCGTGTAGCTGGGCTCGCACTTCCAGTAGCTGACCAACTGGAAGGGACACGAGCTGGCCCCCGGCTTGGTGCGCACCTGATACTTAAGTATGTCCACATTGAAATAGGATGCCGTTGGATTGTTCTCCGCCTGCCTTCGCAGCAGGGCCGTCAAGGCTCCCATATTGAACTCGAGCATTGTGCTCAGGCTGCTTGACTGCTGACGATCTCTAGGGATTTGTTGAAAGAGCACGAAATGGAGTTAAAAATTCATCCTATTTAAAGGATATTCTTACATTTGGACAAGCTTCGCGTTGGGCACCATATTCTCCAAGTTCTGAACGTGCTTAATGCGAAAACCCAGCTTGGCTGGATTGGGATTATTGGCTAATAGGCCGGCAATGCCGGCCGGGAATGATAGCATCATATCACCGGACACCTTCACCTGGCACCGCGACTCGTCGCTGCCCCGGAAATAGGCGTGAATGATCTCATGGAATGCCACCGCCAGCGGTATTGTGTCCGAAATACCGATCGTCAACGGTGAGGGTCCCCGCGACGACCCCACGCCACCGATGGCCGTGCGGAACTCCAGGCTACCAATGCTCTCCGCTCGATTCATGGCCGTCACCGGAGCCGGGGACATTCGACCGCGTCCAGGGGCAGTACCCCCCGTGGCCGCCGGTCCAATGGCTATCATATCTGAGCGTCGCGATGGCGGTCGCGGTATGGCTATGCTGCCCCCTGTGGATGCCGCCGATGTCGGTGTGGGTATTTGCCTGCCTGGCGGTTTGCCCAACGTCGCCGATGCCGGTGCCGACATGCTCATATCTCCCAGCTCCGAAAAGATGTCACCCAGATCCGCATAGCGATTGTTGGTCGTGTTGTTGGCATTGTTATTGTTATTGGACAGCGTGGGACTCTGGAGCGGGGCATAAGGATGCACACTGGCTGTCGGCGTCGAGGCGTTCGATATTTCCGGCGATTGTTGGCGCGACGCTGGAGCTCCTCGCGCTCCCTGCAGTTGTTGGCTGTGATGCTGTTGAGGAGTAAATATATGTATAATAAGTAATTAAATTGTTAAATTTAAGTTAAAGCTTCAACTCACTGAAAAGACTCCAGTTGGCGACAAAGAAATATTTTCCACAGTAGCGCGCAGCTCATCCACGCTGGCCGACATGGGCGCCTGACCATTCTTCAGTGGCTTGATGCTCACATGAATCCTACGCTCCTGCTTGTCATTGTCCGAGTCCGTATCCGAGTCGGAGTAAAAACTGCCAGCTAAAAAGAGAGCCAAGAGATAATATTGATAAATCAATCAAGTGAAAGACGAAAAATAATACGTAAAACCCGATTCACTGACAATCAATTTACTATTTAGTGATAATTCTAAGCCCATTTACGACATGAACTCACATTTATCCTGGCCCTCTTCCCAGGCTATCTCCTTGGCTGGCTGTATGCTGAAGCCCTCCTCATCCACTTCATAGCCTGTCCCATTGCCACTTGAGCCGCCGGGAGCTGTGGCCGAGGCCGAGGTCGTGAGAGCACCTGCATTGGGTAGACTGCCGCTGGCCCCAGCTGCTGCTCCGCCGCTGCCGCCCATGCTGCTGGCACCTGCCGAATCCACGCTGCCCTGGGCCGAAGTGGCTGACAGGGCGGCCAAGCCACCGCCAGCACTGCTGCCGCTGGAGTTCTGGGTCTTCATGCTGCGGCCATGGTCGTCGTAGTCCAGTAGCGTATTATTGGCCCGATCCGCACTTTAATAGGTATTTCGAATTATAGGTAAAGTAATACTACACTGGGACTCTCACCTGGTAAGTCGTTCCTCCTGTATGTGCTCGGCAGCCTCATTGTCTTTCTTTTTCTTTGCCTTTTTGGTTTTCGTCTTGTCGCGACGGCTTCGTAAAATACCAGAGACTGTCGGTGAAATAAAGTCAACATAAGTTGGGGAAACTTTTTAGGATGGGTTAACAACTTGATGACTTAATAGCAAGCTAGGGACTAAGAGAACACACAGGAAAGAGAAAGAGGTAACACATCTCAACACTAAACTCCAGGTAGAAATGGAAGATGTTAAACTTTGCCTTGTGGTGGAAATATAGTTTACAGTCGGAACTTAAATGTAACTTCTTCCTCGGAACTCAGAACTCAAACACCGCCATATAAGAATGCTTTAAAAATGAATTCAATGTTAATTGGGGGATGAGATAACAATAATAAGCTCAGCACACAGAAAAGCCTTTCAACATTAAGCCTAGATGCATGCATTTTATTTTGGCCCAGGTGTGGCCCGTTCAGGTGTATTTGTTTTAGTAGTAGTTGAAGGAAGGGATTGGAGGTTGGATTCGGGGGGCCCATATCACTTTCATTGACATTCTTGGATCATTTACCCTGAGAGTTCGATGTGAATATATTTAAAAGTGACGTTGCACGTCTGGACGTTGTGGTCGTTGTCGCGGCGGATGCGGCTGCTGCTGAAGCTGAAGAAGCTGCCGCCGTCTGCTGGAGATGCTCTTGCTCATTTAATGATTTCGATAGTTGCTGCTCGCTAGTCGTTGCATTCAATGCTTGCTTTTTCGTCGCAGTAGCAGTGGGAGTTAAGGCCTCTGTTGCCGGCTGTTGCTGTGCCTGGTCTAAAGTTTTGATTTCCGATTAGTTGATAGGTGCATGGATGGATAGATGGATGGGTGTTGATGATGGATGGATGGATGGATGGTCGGCAAAGCAATTTGAAAGACATATATAAAAGCATATA